CTACTAGGCAAAGATCCTCCGTCAGCAATTGAATAGCCTGTCTGTCCCTGGGTGTAGACCTACCCCTGGGTTTGCTCTTATCAATTATCCCATCCATCACCTGGTTGATATCTCCGGCCAATATTACCTGCCCCTCACGATCACCTATTATCTTGTTAATTCTGTGAAGAAGAGGAAGAAAAACAAAAAAAAATCTGGTTTATTCTTTATTAGGTGCATAGATATTACACAAAACCATTCAAACCCCATTGATTAAAACTTCCAAGCATATAGTGTGCTCTTCTTTATCATTATATTTTTTTCAACAACACAAAGCTTAATTTTAAATTAATAAGGTTCAAAACACCATTTTGTTTACTTGAGTATGAATTATGAAAAATGGAGCCCACCCAGTCTCTTAAACTTTTTTGCCTCTTCTTCTCCAGCAATGTGGGATTCCTGAATAAACGCTATATCTGTATGTTTATGTCAGAACCTTCCTCCTTTAATTGGGTCCCCACATCCTTTTATGTTCCACGATATTATTTTAGTATACCTGTTCATCTCTTTCTAATGAAAAATGGGGGAAGGACACTCCCTGTGCACTTTACAACACAACACAAATATATACATAGGCACTCAATATTACAAAACCCATCTGGTACCATCAAACTAGCTGTCTTAAAAAAGACAAACCTGAACAAAACGAACACCCTTTGCATAACAACCCAGAACAACGTTGCTAAGCAACCCCTCCCTCGCATTCTACCCAACCCTAACTAACTTTAACTTGAGTCACTAAACTTTCCTTGGTCCGTGAGACACGTTAACTGTCCCCGACAGCAGCACAGCCGCCGCAGCCCCGTTCTACCCATTGTTTATTTGTTACCTTCGTTTTTTTTGGGTTTTTTTTTTATTTTTTTTTAACTCACACACATTTCTCCAATTTGTTACATTATGCCCTGCACTCCTAAGTCGACTCCTGCAGAAATTTCTCAGCCTCCTTTCCGTCTTTGAATGTTTTCTTTTGTCACGTAAAAATAAGTGTTGCAGGATACACCAGCCTATGCTTCACTTGTAGCTCTCGGAGACGCTTCTTCACCGGGTTGAATGCTTTCCTCTTCTCCGCCAGCTCTCTTGTAACATCTTCAAAGAAGGAAAGCTTGGCGCCTTGCCAGTCGATTCCACGCTTCTCTCTGGCCACCCGTAGTACTTTCTCCGTGGCAGATGAACGTAGAAAGCGGACATGTATGGCCCTGGGAGGCTCGTTAGATTCCGGCATTGGTACAGGGGAACAATACGCACGTTCAATTTCAAATTCACTTCCAGAAAGCTCAAGTGCTTTGGCCAGAAACTCTGTTACATTTTTATCCCCTTTCCCGGGTTCCTCCACGCCTCCTTTAAGTCCAATAATCTGTACATTGTTTCTCCTACTACGGTTTTCAAGGTCCTCCACTCTTGACCACAACACCTCCAACCTTTTCTCAGATTTGTCCACTGTTGCCTCAGTAAGCACGCTGGCATCTTCCATGTCTAATATACGTTGTTCCGCCTCTCCTAACCTCAATTTTATCTCTTCCACTGAATCTTTTAGTTCTTTAGTCGCTTCTTTAATAGTGGTGACATCTTTTGCTACGACCTGAAGAGTAGCATTCATTTTCTTAATTTTGTCCTTTTAGCTCTCACTCCCCCTACCTTCCTCCGCTGCTGCTGGAGAGGCGGCATCAGATGCAGGTGTGTTTTCGGGCGGCTCCGGAATGAGGCTAATGCTAGCTTGCTTCTTCCTCGTGGTAGCTCCTTTGGAAAAAGTTTGCTTTGTTATTACCTGCCTTTTTTCAAAGGCTGTAATCCTTGAAAAACTTCAAAGTCGACAAGGGGCGTCCACTTTATGACTACAACTGAAGTGTACGTTTCCAAATTCAGAACATTAATCAACAGGCTTTAGGAGCAGCCATCTTCCTCGGCGGTCCCACGTGACTCCTGTCTTTTAGCCTTTTAATAGATATAGGGACAGTTTTTTTTTGTTTTGTTTTTTTTTTTCTTTCAGAGTGCCAGTGGCCTATTTGTTTTCTATTGTAGAAACATCCCTTAAGGTATTATTGTGTTTCTGTGGCGACTACAGGTCACTGAGGGGTTGCAGAGGTGGGATTTCCTCTCAGTCAACAATTGATTGCAGGATTGGAAAGTCTAAAGAACTTTTGACCATTGTGTTGGGAGAAATTTTTGCCACCTACAGAACTCTGTTAATTTGAGTTTGGTAACAGAGCACAGATTTAGTTTTCAGAACAAATCTTAGATGAAAAGATGTCTGTCCAAATTAAAAGTATAAACTGAACAGTTGTCTCTCATGCATATTTGCCTTTCAGGCACAAAGGACGTGGTGCTTAAGAGTTCGTTGCTGTTACTGTTAACTTGAAATGTAAAGGTGTCGACGTTAACAGTGACCTTATATTTGGTGTCTCTTTTTTGGATGCTCTGCCTTAAATCCTACTAAATGTCTCATTATCAGGTAAAAATGAAAGGTTATAGATTATGAGAGAATCTTTTATAAACCTGCTCTCTAAATAACAACAAGGCAGTCTAAAAGCAAACTAAATCGTCAAAATACATACCAGCCTGGAGTAAATGTGTGTATTCACCTGGTCATCTTTCATTAGGAGATTGTGGCGTGGGTGTGGTCTCTGGCCGGCTGCAGAGGAGGGGTGGCGCAGTGAGCTCCTGGGGCGGCGCAGAGGCGGGGTGAACAGGTGTGCTGGAATGTGAATGTGATTGTGACTCTTTATATGGTCACAGTGACAGTTGGAGAAAGGAGAGCGGACGTGATAGCGGAGCAGGAGTGTCTGTGTCCCATTGCAAACCACAGTATTTTTACTGTTCAAATAAAGAACTGCTGTCACCACGTCTGTGTCTTGTACGTGTGTAAAGGGTCCAACTTCACAGAGATGTAAACATGAGCCTTGTTTAGGAGGCTTCAGGGTTTACGGTTCTTCCATCTGCCCAGTCAGAGCTGCATCTGTCCACTTGACAGGGCAGAGAGAGCTGTACATCACCACAGTAAGGCCTTGGGATGTCTTTGAACAGGAGGATAAGCTGATGGATTTTTTTTTTCTTTTTCTTCTGTTTTTTTCCCCCCCCCTAGCTCATGTGTGGGATTTCAAAGTAAGACATGTTTTGTTAAGAATTACTACTGTGGACAGATCATACAGACGTGTCTCACAAGCCGGAAGTGAAGCCGGCCTTCTTAGTGACTCGTGTCTCTATTTGTGTGGCTGTCAGAGTTGTTGCCCTGACCTGTTTGTATCTATAGCCCTGGTCCAAGATGATAGGAATGGACCTCTTATGGCCTACTGACTGGGACAACAATAGAGCTCCATGACCTCCACGTTATGTCCAAAGCTGTATGGCCTCCGTTAGCAATCTACAGACCTGGGTGTTTTTAGAAGGAACAAAATAGAACGATGATGGTGCGGGGTCTGACATCATCTTGGTGTCTTCTATTTTCAGTCATACATGTGTTCACGAATTCATCTGTCTATCTATAAATTATATTCCCCTCTGCTGCTCCTTTAGATATCATAAAAGAAATCTTACTTTAAGCTAGAGATGGCACGATACCACTTTATGTCCGATACCGATATCATAAATTTGGATATCTGCCGATACCGATATGAATCCGATATAGTGGGTTTTTTTTTTTAAATCAATAAAATATATTTTTAATATCTTGCTGCATTTTATATAAGTTTATACTCTAGCTTTAGTGTTGTTATTTATTTAAAATTTTCTGTTATACCTGTATGTTTAAAAATAAATAAATAAATACACTGCACCCAAAATATTTCATAGTTTATCAACACTGATCAATCTAATAAACTTAAACCTACTCCATCCTCCCTATTCTGGTATTTTAAAGAGTACTTAGGTTGCTTAATATTTCTGCTAACTAATAGGGTTGCAAACTCCCAGCAAAAAAAAAAAAATAGGGAACCACCCTCCACCTCATGATGCTTAATCGATGTAATCAAATTTAATTTGATGCAGGGGGGAAATGCACAGAAATAAATTATTTTTCAAGAATAATTAAATAGATTCAACATCTTTCTTCAACAGAATTGCAGAATTCACAGATGGTACTTTCCCAAAGGAAAAAGTACTATAGCTTACTTAAGTAAGTTAAGTATATTAGACTTAACAGTTACTATATACAGTAATGGACTTCTATATATTTTACATTAGATTAAAACTCTGGGTGTAAGAGTCAGATAATTATTTATTAAAAGCTAGACATTTTAAATGAGAATAAGAAATAAAAGTATGTCTTTGTGCCCCCTTTTCCCTGTTCATGCCCTATCGGCCCCCCTGGCTAAACTTTGCTAGATCCGCCCCTGCACAGTTACCAGCGTCAGCTACGTAGAAAAGGATCCTGGTGTAGAAAGTAATATTAAATAAATTCTAACAACAGATTATCAAGCTTAAACGTGCTGCTGTTGTTCAGCCGCTGGTTTCCTCTTTCTGGTGAGAAGTGGGCCAAAAACAAAGAAGAGAGACGGACTCGCGACAGAAAAGCCGATCAGCTGATCATTAAGCAGTTTCACGATTGAAGTAGCAGCAGGAGAGGGAGAGAGAGAGAGGCAGTCGCTCCATATATCTGTTGTTAAGCTTAACGTGGGAATGCTTTACAGACATTCAGAGATGAACTTACACACTTGCTTTACTTCTCTCTGGGATAACTTCCTCGGAGATGAAATGCTGGTGAGGCTACAAATACACACAGCCGCTCTATCACGTGATGCATACTGCTGCGACGTGCTACGGTTATGAGCCAAGTTACGCCGTGTAGCAAGTTTTGTGAGGTGCTTTTTTGATATTTAATGGATCGGATAAAATTTTTTATTTCTCGCCGATATCCGATCCAGTAATTTGGGTCAGTATCGGACCGATACGTAATATCGGATTGGTCCATCTCTACTTTTTTCTTTTCTTTTTTCTTTTTTAATGTTCTCCTTCATTTTGTCCTGCAGGTATAATTAGCCAATGGCAGAGTGAGCCCAAGGAACGTGTCATCTCCCTTGTCCTTACCCATCTTCCGTTGCTCAAACCGGGAAACGTTGAAGCTAAGGGAGAATACATGCGCTTGCTGCCTCGCATCCTGGCCCACACGATTGAGCACGGCCATCACCTGGAGGAGTCTCGGCAGCTCCTTTCCTACGCCCTCATCCACCCCGCCACCTCCCCTGAAGACCGCGCTGCTCTGGCACTCTGGCTCAACCACCTGGAGGAGAGAGAGAGAGACTCATTGGAAAGGCCTCCTCCTGCCGGGCCTCACCATCACCACCAGTCTACACCTCCTTCGACCCTGACCTCATCTGGATCTTGCTCTTCTACCAACACCTCTTCATCAGGCATTCCCTACTTGCATCACCACCAACGTTATGGCTCAGATGACCGCCTCAATGGGTGGCAGAGCTCCAGGGATTCAGGAATAGGTGGAGGCTGGCATCAGCATGGCTGCGAAAATGGACACCTCCCTCTCTACCCATCATCCTCTGTGCCTGCAACCATCAATACTGTTGGAATTGGCGGAGGCAGTAACGCGAGTAAGTGAAAACCTGTCCTGTCTTTCCTGTTTCTTTCATAGGAGCCACAGACTGGTGCATTTAATGATGTAATAAATATTGTAATACAGTGGGTTACATTTCTGCAACATCCTGTAAAATCTTTGCTAATTTCAGATGTCAACTGATAATTTATTATTCATTTCCTTGTAATCTGTCAGATAATTATTAAAATTATAGATGTTCATATTAAATACAGCAATAGTTTAAAATTATGAGATCAGCTTATATTCCTATGAGCCAAACGCTCAGGTTTGAAGCTTGTCTAAACCCTCTATTTAAATCAGAGCCTGACAGTATTGAGAATAAGTGCCGATATATGGTCAATGTGCGCATCCACTTTTCCTCTGAAGACAGAAGCCCCACCCACCTGTTGTCCAAACCACTTGTTTGCTAGGAGTGCCCAGTCACAAGAGAGTTGGTTTAAAAAGATGGGGAAGGGAGCTAAAATTGCTTTCTTTTTCAGAGTTGATGAACAGAGTAGTTTCATAAGGGCCCACTAAAGAAATCGCACAAAAAGCACAAAAGCATCTATAACAAGGCACAAAAAAGGCAGTCCACATTTAAAAACAGTGTTTTTAAATACTTGTTTCATTATAAATAAATTAAACAAATGTATAAGAAACACTCTACACTGAACGTAAACAAGTACTGAGCAAATAGTCACAGCAGTTAATACACCCTGACCAGACCGAGTACACTCTGAAGAACCCACACAGCAACTACAGAGGCTGAGTGTTGGCTGGAAGACAACACACAGGGAGGGCTGGGCTGTTGGAATTGAACATAACTATGGTCAGAGCAGGATATTTCCAGACAAGAATGCAAGAGCTCTGTTTTTTTCTTTTTCTTTTTTCTTTTCTTTTTTTTTCCTGGGAGATGAAAGAAACAGCTGAAGGTTTATAAATAAAGGCACATTTAAAGCTCTGCTTGCTGCTCCAAGAAAGATCCTCTTGTATGTTAGACTGCTAACAGCTTGGGTCCCAAACAAGATCATAGGATTTCACAACTGATAAAACTAGAGTTACCCCAGCTACCAGTACAGGATTGGTGGCGACAGAGAGCATAGGTATATTTTCTTGTGTGTGTTTGTTTTGTTTTTTTTGTTTTTTATATAAATGTAAAACGAATAGAAGCATTGGACACACTCAAAGCAAATTGGTATTTATGTGTTGGCATTTAGAGTTATAGAATGATCATGGGGAGGTGGTTCTGGCATCAGAAAAAGTCAGTGTTTGGCTTAGGTATTTAATTTGAGTTATTAAAAATTATTTTTACATTGTTGGTCAACATGTGGTTATGTCTTCATCTGGTCACATTAAGGGCTATAGGAGTATAATGGTCCAATCACATCAACCTGTGTTCTACTGAGAGAACACCCTGATGACACCCCACCCATACTCTAAGCTTTAGTCCAAACCACAGCAGCACATACCACCCATCCTTTCCCTTGTAAGGCAGCCTTTGTGGCAGACTGTATTTAGGGAAAATGGCTAATATTTAGGGAGTGGAACTTGAAATGTTAGCTGGGCACCTATTTTAAACGGAGCCCATGAAGTCCTATACATAGCGCCAACAGTAAGAGCACCACATATAGGAGGAGGAGAGAGAGCCTGGACTATCGATGGCAGTTTACCCTGCCAGACAGGCGACACAAAAAAGTTGTTTACTCTTCTCCACCTTTTCATTCTCTTCATCCACTTCAACAGTCTCAGGAAAATGTGTGATCCTAGAACTGTTTTGAGATGAAAGTATTGCTATTTTAGTAGTAATGGTAACCTTGGTTTGACCCCGTAAGAGTAGAGTTCATTTACTAAAATGAAGAAATGAAGAGGAAAGGCTTTTCAAGCAAATGGATATCTTGGTCGATGGATTTACTTAAGTTATTTACACAGTGGAAAAATATTTCCTCAGGTCATTGAACAGGCATTGTTTAGTATGTTGCTTGGAGGTTGAAACTTCAGATATTAAATCTAAATAACTACTTATGTCACAGATGAGCTGTAGTTTATAGTGAGCAGGAAATTCTGATTTTGAGTACTCTAATAATACAAGATGATTATGATTAATGTAAGCCCAGGGGCTCAGGCAGAAAATGCAGTGCATGTATTAAACAGGCACAACATCATTTGAGACGCAGCACAAAGGGGAGATAAACCTGAGTCGTATGTATTTTCTGTTTTGCAAATGCAGCCGCATTCTTCCAATAGCACAAAAAACACTTCATTTTACTTTAATGTCTGAACTACTTTGTGTTTGGTCGCTTATTTCTTTGTTGTAACAATGCTTCTTGGGAATAACTGGTGTCATATTTGTAAGGAAAATGCATTTGGCGATTGAGTGGAGTACATGGGTTGTGCCAATGGAAAAACTTGCCAAATCTTCTCTGCCACTGCCAAACAGCTTATTCAGCTATTGACTGTTGGTTTGAGATTCTGGAATCCCAGGTGCTGATAAACAGGTGTCCAATTAGTCCCTGATAAGCAGCACCTGTGAGCTTCGACCTTGCTACAGTAGAAAATTGGTGTCTGCTCCAGGCATGCCAAATTTGACTGATCTGGATAGGGTGTGCCATAGGGGAACTTCAAGCTGATGTTCTGTAAAACAAAGATGCAGCACGATTTGAAGTGAGAGCTAGTACAGTCTCCCAATTGAAGTTCCATATAACAGGAAATGTTGGAGACAGGCTGCAAATTGGGCGTCCCAAGAAGATGGCAGTCATCTACAGACTTGCAGTTAGGATGATATGGCCTATGGGTCTCTACCCAGATAATCCAGAACAGACTACACACAGCCCGTCTCATAGGGTGGTCAGGAGGCCTGCTATGACAGCCAGCCTGCGGAAGGATCATTATTGGGGTGGCTGTAGCTCAGGAGGTAGAGCAGGTCACCTACTGATTGGAAGGTTGGTGGTTTGATCCCTGGATCCTCTAGTCTGCATGCCAAGTATCCTTGGGCAAGAGACTAACTCCAAGTTGCTCTCTGATTCATCCATCGGAGTGTGAATGTGTGTGAATGTCGTTAGAAAAGCACTCAGTTTAGAGTCAGTGCTTGTGAGATTGGGTATGTGTGGCATGTTGTATAGAGCGCTTTGAGTACTCCAAGAGAGTAGAAAAGCGGTCAATCAGTCCATCTGTCACTGTCGGACCCATTAGCGCTGATGTCGGCAACATGTGCACCTTAACATGTCAAGGAATATTATGTTCATCTATGAGTACAAATTCTGCCTAAGACAATTGGAACTAAGAAGCAAAGCTTAGAAAAGAAGCTGTTGCTCAGCATGAGGAGGAGGTGCCATGGGGTTGTGGCTGTTCATGGTTCTTCCACATTATACTGAAGCACCTGGTTGCTACATGAATAAATTCTTAAATTGCCTCATTTCTTCAGACTTCAATCATCCATTCGAATAAACGACACCAAAGAAGGGTCAATAGCACAATAAACTGTTTGACAGTGGCAGAGTTAACAATTATCTACATTAACTGTTCAGGATCTGCAGCTATTTTTATACACAGTCCCCCATTTTTAGAAGCTAAGACATAATTGGGCAATTGACTTACCGAGGAGTTTCATGTTGTTGGTCTTTTATTTGGTAGCTATTTACTGGAACTCTCAATATGAGGTCCAAAGAGATGTTGATGCAAGTGAAGGAGGCCATTAATAGGCTGAAAAACCAAAATAAACCAATCAGAGACAGCAAAAAGTTTGAGTTGCCCAATCAGTAATCTGATACATTGATTTTAAAAAAAAAGAATGCACACACGAGCTCAGCAGCATCAAAACATAAACATTTAAAATGTTAGTTTGCCTAATTAATTTGAGGCACTGTGTACAAAAATAGCTGTAATTCCTAAACAGTTCATTAATTTATTTTTTTTTTATATTTAAAAAACAAACAAAGAACAAAACTAACAAACCCTTGGATCCAACCTTAAGGTCTGGGCTCAAGTCACATATTGATTCAAGTCAACTGTGGTGGTGTACACAGTCATTGTCATTGTCCAAATACATATGGATTAGAAGCCTATAGATCGCCAAAATGTAAAGAAAATGACTTCATGTTCAGTGTTCTTGAACACAGGAGTGCGTGAACTATATAATGTTCCCAGTCAGTCTGAGTGACTAGTGGTGTTGTTGGTTTACAGTCCTTACAAGTGGAGGTGGCAGCCAACAGCACAGTCCCTTAAAGCGCTCAGTGTCCCTCACACCCCCCATGAGTGGCCCCAACAACCAGCCTCTGGGTCACGCATGGCTTTCCCAGGAAGATCTTCGGACTGCTAGAGGCCCAGCCCCAGACCACGCACCTCTCTCTCCACAAAGCAGCATCGCCTCCTCTGGCAGTGGAGGCAGTGAGCATCTGGAGGATGCTGGTTTAGGAGGAGGTTCAGGTCTGCATCGCAGTTCCTTTCATGAAGAGGGCAGTGGCATGAGGGGTGAGTAAGAAAGAGACCTGTTCAATATTCGTGACCTACTGGATTATGGCAAACATTGGAGTGAGGTGGCTGACTCGCAGTCGAAATGCGCATAGATGGATAACAGTTTCAAGGGAATAAGGAGAACTCCCAAAATAGCAATGCCAACTCTGGGACAGAGTCACTAGATATTGGATTTTAAGATAACTTTATAGATTTAATTTCCAAGAATCAAGAGACAAATTAAGATGTCGGAACTAACCACTGATTTTGAAGTCCACACTTGCTTTCACAAAAATGAAACATGAAAACACTTTATCAGTGAGGTTAAATGGGTAATGACAGGCTCCCCTATTTAGATCAAAAGTACTCTCCTAGGTTGACTGATTTGGTGGGAATGAGTATTGAGACAGACTAGGTTCAATACTATAGTCAGCCGAGCTTTCAGACATTCACTACTACCGGTAATTGGATGTGATTCAGGTGGAAGAGCAGGTTGTCCACTAATCAGTCCCACTATATTACAATATTAAAGTGTCTTTGGCAAAGAAACTTTCTTTATTTACATCACTTATTTTCTTTTGGTTCCTCCATCACTGATATGGACCACTTCTATGAGGAAACTTATGACTATCTGCTGTTTGTGCTTTACAAGCATTCAGTAAAAGGGCGTGGCAAGTTGTTAATCCAGTCGTGCAGTTTGTGAGAGGAAGCAGAGGTCAGAACTAATGACCTTATTGACCTTACTCTGAGGCGATCACTGTCTGCACAGCATGAAACCCTTTCTGGTCGTCTGGGTCTCTTTTTTTTCTTTTTTCTTTTTTTTTCTTTTGAAATGCAGTCATTCAGATAAATAGGAATGCAGTTCTGACAGTTTTCATTGATAGTTCTAAGAGAACAAACTGTCATTTGTAAAATCTGTTTTAGAGGGTTTTATTTTTCAGTTGTCTGTTGTTGTTGCTGTCATAGTCTAACAATGAAATACTGCATTACAGACTTGGTTTTGGACTCTTTTATCACATTATTCATGATTCAGCTAAATCGAAAAGTGCCAGTGATCAAATGCTCTCAAAGACCATCAAACTTTGTGTAATCACAAGCCACATCACACCAGGCAGAGTAGGTGGAGATTGAGGGTGGGTTTTCGGTGTGCCTTTTTGGTCTCTGAACTTCTGCAAATCAGTCCTCAAAACAGGCAAAAAGTATTGCATATTTTAGAAAAGGAAAAAAAGCTAAGCCAGCAGCCCTTATTATTCTACGTTAGTACAAAGATGTGTCAGCAATAAGCTTAACATCCTCTGTAGTTTGACCCATTTGTTTGGTTGTCTGCAGCAGTGATTATGTGATATGTCTTTGTCCCTCAGATGTCCCTGCTTGGCTGAAGAGTCTCCGTCTCCATAAGTACGCCGCTCTCTTCTCCACAATGACCTACGATGAGATGATGGCACTGACTGAAGAGCAACTAGAAGCACAGGTAAACACATGTGCACCCACGTACTTGTAGACAAAGTGAGCTGATGTAGTAATAATTTCTACAATTAGTATAGCTTTTATTCTGGACAAATTTTATACAGATACCAACTTTATATTTGCACAGTAATTCAGAAATTGCTATTTGTATGCAAGGCAATAAGTCTGTGTTTAAAAACAAACAAACAAAAAAACAAATAGTAGATGAGCATGTACCTCTGGGACATAGGGCCCAGAATTGCAAAAAGAGAAACATGTTAATATCCTGGACTACAAAATCAGTGTAGTCTATGTCAGATCTACTCAAGTTGAAACCTGATAATGTTGTATTAAATGGTACAAGACATTTAGTTCTTGATGCTTGTGTGTAAGGACATGGATAGGCTATTCTGAAACAGCGGATGTAGCTAAAATTAACACAACTCCGTCCACTGGGAAGTTGCGTACTTCCTCCAGGTGCTGCTAATTCGTTTTTAGGCTGAACCTAATGAAGTGCACATTTTCACTGAGATGTTGTGAACAAAATGTCCAAGAGGAGTCATCATCAACAAAAATTTCCAATCTCCAAACGAAAGGCTAATGTAGTCTAAACCAACAGAGCGTTTTAAGTAATGAGAATCTGTCCTAAAAAGACAGGCCTAACTCATGTTTATTTAAAAAATAAGCACAAAACCTCTTTCCATTTGGAAAAACCTTATCACACTGTGTTTGTAAGAGAGCTATCATTGCATTAGGCCTGTATTGTCAATGAGAAGAGATGTTTGATGCCAAACTGTTTCCTCCAACAGAAAGTCACTAAAGGAGCACGGCACAAGATTGTTATCAGCATTCAGAAGCTCAAAGAGAGGCAGAACCTACTCCGGAGCCTGGAAAAGGTCAGAAGGACTACATGTTGCATCCAGTCCACCTCAAAGCTTGTTTGTGGTGTTGGTGTTATGTATCTGAGATGACAGCTAAGGGAACACCTAATCCAGGAAAGAGACTTTTGGGCTCCTAATTTAAACCCGTCTGCCTCCCCCACCCCTGCACTCTTTCATTCAGCCTTCAGAGCAAGACAATGACGCTCAAGGGCACGCCACAACTTTTTGAGGCAGCTAAATTCAGGCTTAACCTTTCCATTAATGATTTCATCAATGACGAATCATTTTAAAAGCATGTTACTGTACATTTGAAGAGCTTGGGAAACAAGACACCTGCTGCTCGGTATTTTGAGTTCACACAGACTTGTCTACTGCTTTGAAGTGTGTAGTGTGGGAGGTAGGCTGATATGACGTGTGTGGACATAAGTGAAGGAAATTAAGCTGTATTTTTCCCTTTTTTGTACAATTTTGAACAATTTGTTGTGTGATGATATGGTGGAGTAAAGCATACTTATCAGAGAATAAAGTCACACTCCCTCTATCTGTGTTGTAATCTGAGCTTCTGTGTTTTGAAGCCAGACACGCCTTGCGTGCGTGTTGTTGCATGTGAGTCCTTCTGTTTGAAACGGTTGGCTAATTATCATAAAAAGAAGAGAGTGAAAGTGAAAGTAAAACTGAAATGGCAGGGTGCAATCTGGAGCATTTGGTCAGTGCTCCTGAAGAAGAAGAGCACTTATTAGTCAATTGATTTATCCAAATCTAGGTCATTGGGGTAGGATTTTAAGCAGCACCTCCCTGTTTGCTCCATCTCCACCAGCTTGTCTTCTCTCAGCTGGCTTCAGCTGACAGATGTGATCTCTTCAGCGTGCTTGGGTCTGACCAGCGTGTCAGAAGCTTTCTGATAATAGCTTAAATGAAACGTGGAGGGAGGTGTGTCTCTTTGTTTTTGCTTGAGATGCTCATCTGCTTGTGCAACATCTTGTGATTCTGAATTTCACACATTACACCTTAAATATTCATTATCTAGGTTAGAATTGGCACACTTTTACATAAATGTTTTTACATAGAGGTGGTCCCCGCAATGATACAATTCTTCTGTCACTTCATTAGATTTTAGGATCTCATCTGTAAAGTAAAAACCATCTTTACCTGATGTCATTTGCTGCCACCAGGATGTGTTAGAGGGCGGTAACCTTCGTGCCCCACTCCAGGAGCTCCACCAAATGATCATGACTCCTATTAAGGCTTTCAGTGGTGGCGAAGAGGCCTCTTTGCATCGCCCTCTGCTGACCCCGGAAGGCAAAAGCGCCGCACCTGGCTCCCACCTGAGTGGGGGAAGTGGAGGAGAGGCTGAGTCTGGCACCAGTGTGATCGCTGAGGGGGGTATACCTGGTCAGTTCACTCGTGTTATGGGCAAAGGTGAGCTCCTCACAACAACATGCAATTGAGATTGATTTCTGGGGCCAAGGGATGAGTTGGATTTAATGTCTGTGTTTTCATATCTGTGCTGTCCACAGTTTGCACACAGCTGCTGGTGTCAAGGTCAGACGAGGACAACATCAGCTCCTACCTACAACTCATTGACAAGTGCCTTATCCATGAGGTAGCCACCCCCTCCTTTTGATGTTTATATCTGATAGTATAGTATAGATAGTATAGTTCAATGCAATTCATTTTTCCCCCAAATACCAAATAAAATGTCAGTCAATGAAATATATCAGCAAATAGATTTTATAGTTGTTCACAGATAGTTACAATAATGGAAGTTAATTTTGTGTATTACCAATATTAATGTTGTTTAAAGGGATTAGCAGCACAGGATATTATATATTTGATATTAATGCATTTGAAATTTAGGACAGTTTAACTAGTAATAATATGTCTAATTAAATGAAATGCAGTTGTCCAATTAGTCCCTGATCTGTTATTTACTTACCATAAATAACAGATCATTTCTAGCCACTCTTTTTCTTTGTCTGTTAAATGTCTTGTGTTTTTGCCTAGCATCATTGTGCTTTGGTGTAAATGTGCTGTGTGACATGAGCCACACTGAGCCATGTTCTTCAGCAGTAATGCTTCACTTCACCCCAGATTTTATAATCCCCATTCTCCCTTGTTCTCAGTCCTTCACTGAGACGCAGAAGAAGAGACTGTTGTCATGGAAACAACAGGTCCAGAGGCTGTTCCGGTCCATTCCGAGGAAAAACCTGCTTGACATTGCAGGGTACCGGCCGCAGAGGAGGTACGCACACAGATGAGCAATAGTCTTAATTTTCCAGTGGTTTTTCCTGTAATAAAGACAGTTGAAAAAGTTTGACGAACTTTGTTAAAACAATTTTTTAAAAAGACAGACTTCTATGTGAAAATTATTAAATATGTGGGAAGCAAAAGTTAAATGTGTTAAAATTTAGTGGCTAATTTTTACACAAACTACTTTATTTACGTCTAACAGTTAAAGAATTAATGTAGACAACAAAGAAGCCAGTTCAAGTTAAGTTTGAGGAAAAACTGTTCTGTATTCATGTGCAGTGTTGTAGCTTTGGGATGATTATACTCTACTGGACTGAATTACTTTCAAACTAGCATATGCATTAAATGTCAATTTAAAACTACTTTAGTCAAGTGAAATTTGCATATGTTTTTTTCTATCTATCCAGCAGCACAGCTTCCTGAAAATGGAAGAAAATTAAAGTTGGCATAATTATTTTACAAAAAGATTCTTCTGTGCTTCATATTATTTAAATGCACAGCTGCTGTTCTTTTTAACATCCAAACACCTTAGACAATGCTCGCCTCTGTACAACTTTTGTTTTGTCCTGTCGCAGCCGCTTTGGCCAGTCCAACTCTCTCCCTACCACTGGCTGTGTTGGGGGCAGTGTGTCAGCCAGGAGGAGCCTTCACCAGTTCCAGATGCCCTCCCGGAGTTTGCCGGGTGCCAGGCTGGGCCTGTTGGGCAGCGGGGGGCTGCTGGGACCCACACCTCGTAGCTCCAGCAGCACACCCACCGGTCCCAAGCAAGGAAGACATGTGAGTTCAAATAAGCAGATTGTTTGAACCAGTTAGCAGATATGAGTCGTCAAATAGGAAGAGCAGGACGCTTGAATGTCCAGTGGACAACAAGGACACACATAGGAAGACCAGCATATAATAACCAACTTGTATTACCAGTATTGTATAATCTGCAAGGTTATCAGCTAATTTGTGGGTATTGATCATCTTCAGTTAATCCACAATATAAGGACAGATTAGCTATTACAGTTTCAAAATATTTGAAATCTTTTTTTCTTTATAAATGTAGAAAATGCAGGTTTAATGTTTTTGTTTCAAAAACTAAACAAAATATTAATCAGTTGTCTTATCCCTAAACTCTTCAAAGCAATTTTTTTTTTATTACTTCCACACACTGGGCATGTTGAGGATGTTTTGGTGAACTGAGAGGTACTTATATAGCACTATTCTACTTATTCTGAGCAATCACAGCGCTTTCTACTACACTTCTTATTCACCCAATATAACACCTACAATGCTTTTATGTATTCCTAAGCCCTTTTTGTCTAACATTCACACAAACTCCCACTCCAATAGATGGGCGACAATCTTGCCCAAGCATACTTTGACATGGACTGAACAACAGGGGATTGAGTCGCTAACCTCAGCATGCACTACCACCTGACCCACAGCCCTTCGCAGTGTTTCCTCTCTTTTCAGCAGACTTGGTTTATATAGATTCAGTCATATTTATGTTTACAATATACTACAGCATGTACTGATTCCTTAAGTCTGACTTCAATAAATACTAAATGGGAGTTAAATTGTGTGTTTAAAGGGACTGTGGTGAATGGCAGTGGTGTATGTGACTGTACAAAGGAACATTTTGTAGTGCATAATAATACATTCCAGGATGTTTACAGTACCTCGGGCAGCAGAATTCCTTCTTCAGCATGTATTCTGCCTGAAATAGTCTTTTTATTCCATGACAAAGAAATGCAGGGTGAGGAAGAGTAACAGTGGTGGTGGTGTCTGGCAAATGAAGTGAGGTGGATGGAACTCATAGGCAGGTCACCCCACATACCAGAGGCTCTGCGTCAGTGCAGAACATTGAAACAGGAGGAGCTGTGGAGCTGTTTCAGGCCCATCCTGGCACGCTTGTGTCTGGGCTGACCCAGTTCATTGGAAAACTTTCTGTCCCCTCCTTCTCTTTCCCTCCTTCTCTCTCGCTCTCTCATCCTTTACAATGGGAGGAAATACCTCAGTTCCTCCTCGTCACGCTGGACCTTCTTGTGTGTGAATGTGCAGTGAGAGGAGAAGGAGGGCGGGTGGGGAAATGTGTGAGTCATATTTTGGGAGAGGTAGCCGTGCCGTTGAAGGAGGAGGGACAACAAGCGAGAGAGGGAGTGTTTAAGTGTGTGTCTATATATATGTAAGAGAGAGGGGGCCAGTCAGAGGCAGTGAGAACAGTGCACAGGCATTTCCTGTTTTTCCCTGGCCTGCGGCGCTGGAGGGGTGGGGGTGGATTGGTGAGGGGAGGGGCATGTGGCAGTGCTGTTGGGGGTATAATGGGCAGGTTACAGTGAAGAATTCACGTGGTGAGCGTCTGAGACTGTCATTAGGTGTGGGCTAGACATTCAGACAGGAGTGTGGGGAATGAAAGTATTTAAGAAGTTGTGGTCTTACATGAGTTTTTTCAAGCTTGCACATTTCATGCATTCATGTTTTTGGTCAGTGAAGGTTTTAGCCAAAACGCTGATGTGGGGAACGGTAGGGAAGTTGGAGCAGAATCTTTGGTCTTGTAATTTGTGCATTGAATCATAATGAAGAAATGGGATTTTACGTATTACATTTCTCTATTTAATCTTAACTACGTAATCCACAGGCCAGTGTGAGTTCTGAAGTCCATGCTTATGGTCTGGTACTGTTAACTTCAAATAAAGCAGGAACTTCTCAAAATTAACTTTCCTTGTATCACAAAAAGAAAAAAAAGAACAACAAACATTTGTCGTGCACCCCAGATCCACATTCATTCGTAATAATGTGAAGTTATAAATAATTTTTTTCCCCTTTTTTTTTTTTTTTTTTTTTTTCCTGGCAATGTGATCAAGTGATAGTGATCAAGCAGAGTTTTGGTGAACATTTCAGTTTACTACATTTTGAGAGCAGAAACAAAAACTTTTGTACAAATTTTAAACCCATTTCCACCAAGACTGAGACTTTGGATATCATTGCACATTCTCTGCTATGTAATCTTGAAATGTCCTCCTCAGGGTCCATGGTTTGCTAATCCTGGAGGAAGTAACAGCATGCCCAGTCGTACCCACAGTTCCGTGCAGAGGACACGTTCCCTACCAGTTCACACCACACCACAAACTGTGGTCACGTTCCAACAAGCTGGTAAGTAATGCCGGGACACACTAACATTTGCTTTAACACCTTGGAACTGGCAGGAATGCTGGCTCATTAATTCATCTGCATTGATGGTGCTGACATCAGCGTGGTATCTGCTGACAGTGGGGCAGCTAGAAGAAGTCACACTTCAGGGATGGGCTGAATAAAGTAGAATCCCCCAACTAAATTATATGTGTGTTAGAACAAGACAAAGCTACATAACCATCTTCAGGCTTTGAACATGCCAGCTAAGTGGTGAATGTTGGCCTTTATGCAGTCGTAGATCTAAACAGCTGTACATGCAGCCTGTTAGATTTGTTTTTCTAGCCATTTCCTACTTTTTATTTATTTTTTTCCCCACAGTGTTGCTGCTGCTCAGGACTTTCTGGAACTTTGCCATCTATGCCTATGCTGTTTGTTTTTTGTTTTTTTGTTTTTTTTAAATGATGCTATTACCGTATTCATTTAAACATCATACTGTTGCCAAGCAAATCAACACTCAGTTATTTATGCCACAAACCAGCAGATTATATGTATGAGCAGGAGAGCAGAACAAGAGCTAACATCTCAGCAGAAGTTCGGGCAGGTTCCTCTGTATAGGCATTTGTCTGACTCCAGACCTCATAGGCTGTTGAAGAGGGGACACGCATCTCTTGTTTTTCCCTCATGGGGTATCAGAGGTTACTAGAATATAAAACTGAGTGAGAAACTAAGTAATTTTTTCCTTGAGCATCGAATATTATGGGTTTCACAAAAACACTGCTGCATGAAAGACCCTGGATCTCATCATTACCACTCACTGTTTTCAGATGCTTCCTGGCAAACAGAACCAAATTTAAGAGGGGCAAGGAAGGAGGGGCAGCACTTGCTGCATTTATTAACGGCAAATGGTGCCACCCTGGTCACATTACCATGAAGGATCATTTCTGCAGCCCACTTATTGAAGTGTTAGTAGCAGAGTTGCATTATATTACATACCCAAGCAGTTTGTATGCTATTTTGCTGGTTGATTACATTTCTCCTTTCACATGCTTGTCAAACATGGCTTATATCATCAAGTCTGTTACTGTAAGACTACTCTCTGCACCTGTGTACTTTCCTCATGACTTCTGGGGACTGAAATGAAGTGACTTTGTTCCAATTTCACTCAGTTTGTGGACTTCGCTACCAAGGGACACGGGTCCCTGCTCTGCGCTGACATTAAGGCTTGTAGCTCTCAAGGCAAAACCTGGTCCGCCATCAGCCCAGGCATAGACCAGTGTAAATGCTTTCACTTAGCACAGCTGAGACTGTGAAGAAGTGGTCTGAAGGCCCATATGTTTTTTTGGCAAAATTGTTTTTAATGCACGACCATAGCTGGACTGGCCATCGGGCGTACCGGGAATTTGCCTGCTGGGTCGATGGTGATATTTTTTTTTTTTTTTTGGTTTTATGGGCCAACGATTTATTTATTTTCTTTCATGTAACGGTATAAACAATGAAAGGTGGTGGATTGGCCAGATGCTGGCCGATGTGTAAAAATAACTCAGTTGTTTGGTGGTGGCTATGGCGGAGCTTCCACATAGGCCAGCAGGTGGATGAGGGAAAGGGGAGGCAGGAGGAGGAGAGACCCGAGGGCCGCCAGTCTAAGTGTCAGGTGAACTAAACTTCAGGTAAGAAGTTATGACCTGCAGTCTATCTGGGTCAGATATAAACCAAGTTTAGTTGTAGTTTATTTTCGTTGTGCTGACTTTTTACAGTCAGTTACAGTAATTCGTACTGCGTACTAGCTAGCATGATGGAGTTTCTACAGCTGGGTGGGTGCTATGATGTTACTGATAGTGAACTTTATTTTATTCATAAGGTTAGATAGTAGAGTTGCCAACTGTCCTGAATCGTCATGTATTCAGGGAAAATATTACGCGTTTCGTATTGAGCTGAAAAGAAACACAGTTTGTCCCGGACTTCAGCTAGAATGAAAAAAGACACAAAGCTGGAGTTATTCTGTGTCTTTACACTGCAGCTGCCTCTTCTCCTCTCATTCTCTCCCCCTCCCCTCCTGTTGCTACTTCAATCATGAAACTGATCAATGATCAGCTGATCAGCTTTTCTCTCTTGTTTGTTTATCGTCCACTTTGTGCCAGAAAGAGGAAACCAGCAGATGTCGCGCTAAACAACAGCAGCATGTTTAAGCTTGATCAGCTGTTGTTAGAATTTATTTAATATTAATTTCTAGTATCAGCTGATGTTTGCTGGAGCCACAGCTGTAAACCTGCTGGTCATGATACCGGTTTGGATATGTGGTGAGAGGGAAACATGAAGATGAAACCAGGAGATGTCCTTACTGAATCATCAGAGCTGAACAGGTGATGGAGAAACAGGTTTACCTTTTAGGTGACATGAATGAGTTGAAGGGAAGTTATGAACTGTTTCTGAGAGACAAATAACACCAGGATCCTTTTCTAAGTAGCTGACAGCTGGTAACTGTGCAGGGGCGGGTCTAGCAAAGTTTTGCCAGGGGGCCAGGTAGGGCATTAAAGAAATACTTTTCTTTCTTATTCTCATTTAAAATGTCTAGCTTTTATTAAATAATTATCTGAATCTTACAACCAAAGTTTTTATCTGATGTAAAATGTATAGAAATCATACATATACCAACAAGACGTGTACATCACTGTCACAACAGCATTTGTTTTCATTCAAAGGCTTTATGGCTTTTCCTATAATACCTGGTGGGCCGGTCTCTAGTCAAAATGCCCGGGCCGATATTTTTGTCCCAGTCCAGCCCTGGGCACAACACGCAGATGAGTTAATCTGAGAGGGTGCATTAAAAAATAAATGGCCGGGCCAGTGGTGCACATTGCAAATTAGCTCGCATAGACACATTAGTTGTGCCGCTTCTTAATGACGGTATCTTAGCTAACAACCCCAACTATCAGATTCAACTTGTAATTGGCTAAAAATCACTTAGCCTACCGGTGAGAGCGACATTGCTAGCTGGCAGTTATTTTCAAGCATGTTGAAATTTCCACATTCCGACACTTCAAATGCTTCAGGAGCTCTCCGCTCAGCGCAGCATCGAGCACCACGGAAATACACGGATACATCCGTAGACTCAAGACAGAATTCACAATGCGTTTTTGGGACTTTCAGGTGTATGGACCAATGTTTTCTTTTCTGATCAAACCAGAAAGCTTTAATGAGCAGCTGGATTTGTCTCGCATTAACTGGCTGAGTTAATGCGACATTGAAATGCAGCTGATTGAAATGAAAACCTCGACTCTGTGGGGGTCAAAGTTTGCAGAACTAAGAACGCAGCTGGAATCCACAGCTGTGAGTGTTCATGGAGCTGCATGTTCACCTGCTGGACATCACTACCTGACAAGTTTAACTGTCTTCAGAACATTGCAGAGGCCTTATTGACAGTATTTGGCTCTACATATCTCTACATATTTTCTCTCACACGAAGAGTGTCCTCAGGTAGCAGTCTGAATGCTGGACACTCAGAGACACAGGTCTCTGAGTGGGAGACCAGAGATCACATTAACATGTGTGTCGCTGTATTAACAAACATGCCATATTGGCCCAGTTTATTTTTCTTATCATTGTTGTGAGGAGACCATAAATAGCATTTGCATTTTTTGTTGTACAGTTAATTTGCTGGTATGGAGTTCTTGTTATGGATGAAAAGTCTTTTTTTTGTTTTAAAATAGCTGATAACTATTCACTGATAGCTGCCAACATCTGCGAACAAATATAATTCTACAAAGTTGTTCTATTTAGTGTGTAACTGTTAACTTAGAGTGTTATTAAATTTATTGCTAATACAGTCATATGGCACATTGACTTCTGAGGAAATTTTAGATGGCACTCATCAAAAATCATCAAAAAGGTTGCCGACCCCTAGTGTATGCCATCTTCTTGTGGACACCTCTGTCGTTGTACAAACTATCCGCTGTTTTCTGAACTATCCCTGGGTTACCAAACACATCAAGAAACTCCTGAGTGAGACAAATAGGGTATTTTGTTCAACTCCAAATTCATCCAATAAAATGATGCTCCTAACACCTCAAACCCTCAGTGCCCCTCAGCTGTGTGTCATACCCCAGCACTGCTTTAACCTAAGTTAACAATCTGAGCTGGGACCTGAATGCCCGCCTGTAATGTCCATGTGTGCACCAGTCACTGTAACCACGGGAGCCAAGCAAAGTGACCTGTAGTAGCCTCTGCTGATTGCTACTTGTCACTAACAGTGGACAGTAAAAGGAACAGCCATGGCTAAGCTTTAAAAGCACTATCCAAGTACAGAGTATTTACCATTTCTATGGACAAGCTGTGACAGAAATATCCCTATTTTAGAATGAAGAGGAAAAACGGATTTTAAAAAGACCAAAGGAGAGGAGCGAAATTAGGTGGAGGGAGAAGTTGAGGCTATGTGAGAGAGGAAGAGATGGAGGCTGGGAGGGAGGAAAGAGTCAAAGGAGTCTCACAATGAGGCTCTTTGTGCAGTGAGTCCGGGGCTCCCTGGCCTGCTTTCCATCCCTCTCTCACTCATTTACTTTCTTTCTTAGATTTCTTTCTTTTCCCCTCTCTCTGTTTTCCCCTCCTCCCCCCTTCTCTCCATCTTTGACAACTCTGCAGAGTCATGCACACATAAGTTGCTCTCAAGGGTGATTAAAGCTGTGTCTGGCCAGGGTAACTGATGTGAAAGGCTATACGTCCCTCACCCCTCCAACCACACACTGTCTGATGTGCCTTTCTCTTTACCGACATTTGAATAAGGTTCCTCATTAAATGACAAAAAAGTGGTGGAGGATAAGGAAACAAGTGTATGTTAGATGATTGGATGTTTTTATTTTTTCTTGTTTCCAGCGTGTGTTTGTGTAGCTGTAAGTTTGTACACAGGGGGGTTGGTGGGGTGTGGGGGAAGAAGGGGTGATGGTAGGGATTTGGACCCTATAAATAGCCCAGTGCAAACTACTGGGCCTAACTCTGTCTCTCTTTCCACAAGAGATTTTCACTGCCCAGTCTGTGTTGGAGACTCAGCTAGCCTCTTAAGCCCCAAGGGGTTTCTGAGCTTCCTGCTCGAAAATGCAATGCCCAAATTTAATTGATTATTTCTCTGCAATTACCAATCTTGGTATCAAAATAAAGCTAACACTTGTGAAATTTCATCAGAGGTGTAAATATTGAAGCAGATATTACTGTGTCAAAGTTACTGAGACTGGAACACAGAAAAAGTAAGTAGATTTTATCCTCGCCTAATTTTTTTTTTTTTAATTTTTAGCATATAACCCTTTTAAAAATATGCCTCAGTTCACATTTCATTCAGAAATTCAGTAACCAACATATAAACATCATCTGTGCAAAGATTTATGTTTCTAAAGTGAAACAGTGAAAAATTACAGCACTGTCAATACATGAATATCCACATTGTACAAAAATGTCCAATTTTGGCACACAACTGGACACCATGCCAGTTGAATTTTTTTATATTAAAGAGCAGAAATATAATTTTATTAACAGGCCTAAAAATGCTTTTTTTTTTTAAATATATTTTGAAGAATTAACCGCACATTTACATGGCAATGGCCCTTTTCTGCCGTGCGCATGGTGCGTTTAATAGACCCTGTCACTACCCGATCTGTACCGGAAACCCGATCGGTACCCCGCATGGCAAATCTTACGTCACTTCCTCTCTTTGCCAACATTGCGACATTCAATATATTTGAATGATACGGTTAGCGTCCAGTCAGTGTTGCCAACTTAGCGACTTTTGTCGCTATATTTAGCGAGTTTTCAGACCCCTTAGCGGCAAAGAGTGAAAGCGCGTATCGCTTTTACTCTCAACAAGCAGCGGGTGCTGTAACGCAGTCAGTTCTTCTTTACTCTTTTACTCTTATGCTGTTTTGTGGATCACAAGGTTTAAAACTACTTATAAACACACACACAAAGTAACTCCACCAGAGTGCCTATTTCGGGTCACTTTTGCCGGTCCAAGCCCGGGTAAAGGAGCAGGGTTGGAATTGTGACATTAAAAAAACAATAATTGCTAAAAGAAATTTAATTTGTAGTTCTAAATAAACTCTAAATGCATTTAGGATGTTTTTTACTCACTTTATGTCTCTTCCACGATGTTATTTCTCTCTCCAACAACATAGGTTACAATTAGATTAGCATGACCAATTATGCAAATTAGGCGATGACGTCATTTAGCGACTTTTAGGACACCCAATAGCGATTTTCCTTACTGAGGAGTTGGCAACACTGCGCCCAGTTAGCTCCTAGCATTTTTTTAACAGCTCTGCCTCCTTGTCGACTACCGGGACAATGGATAATCCGTATCCGCAACAAATTTTTGCTTTTCTCCTCAACAGAGAGCATTCCCCGATTGAACAACAGCGCCGTAAAATAAGAAGAATGGTGCCTAATGACAGAGTTAATAATACAGACTTTATAATATGTCACGTGAAGATTCAGCAGCCAGATGAAGTGTTTACTGGCAATTGACAGTGATAGCGGACATTATCATCACTTTTCCAACAATCCTCTCCACACAGACAAGCATAAACACACTCGATTATCACTAAATCAAATTTAACACACGTTTGTAATGACGCTAATTCAGTTTACAATAGGGTTCATTCGCTCAGTCAGCAGGTGGCGGTATCCTCGTACACTGGGGAGTACACTGCCATTAAACGAACAGAAGAAGAAGAAAACCCCTGCACATGCGCGGTACGGATCGGGTAGACCCGATTTGTACGGTCCGACTTTGCACATGCGCAGTAAGGATCGGGAGTCCCGATCTGTCACTATCTTTTTATTTTTTTGTTTTTGTCTACATTATATTAAATGTTTCATTATCGGAAACATTTTAAGAGATACTTGTTATTCTTAACATCTTAACAGGTACTCTGACCTGTAACTATCGTAAAATGCTTCGACCGGAAGTAGACACCTTTCGCGCATGCGGGGTACCGATCGGGTTTCCGGTACGGATCGGGTAGTGACAGACCCTGTGCACGAGAAAATGCTAACTTCCTGGTTTGAGACCGGATGTGGGGTTGTACATTTCCGGTAGCTTTACTTTGCGGTCAATCGCTACTGCGAAGATATCCTCCAAAATCATGTCCAAAACTCGAAAACGGAAAGATCGCGTTAAGTTACAAAGAGCAGAAGGTGGGAACACTCACCACTGTTGTGTCATAAAAAAATCTAATGATCAATTTTGACGTTTAAAGGTTTAGATCGATCAGTTGTTTACATCACTCAACACAAGCAGAACTGCATCACTGCAGCTGCATTACAAAATCAGAAGACACATCGTCCACATTCAGAAGCACATCTCTGTATAGTGACTGGTCTTATGATTTAAACAGGCAAATGTTCAACATTCAAACTACAGGTGAAGAATAGTCAAACTAGATGTTTCCTCGTTATGTCGATATCAGCTAGTCAGGTAGACACCCACACAGCATGTTAACAAACTGTGAAAAAAAGCCACACAAAAAATTTATGATTGCTGGTAAGGGTTTCTATACATTAACATTTACGAAGGGTATGTTGTGACTTACCTTTAAAATTACAGTGGTCCCTCGCGGTTCACCTTTCACCTCACTGTTTCGCAGATTTTGTAGTGCATCACATTGTGTCCTGCGTCCTGATCGGCTGCAGACGATCTCCTCCGTCACGTCTCTCCTGTACAGTACAGAGTCGCTGCATCGATCGCTAGCAGTGTGACTTTGAAGTGCAGTACTGTATGTCGACCATGTCGACAAAACGTTTTGCACCGTCAAAAAATAAAATTGGCTACTTGATTTCACTTATCGCTGGTTATTTTTAGAACATAACACCCGCGATAAACAAGGGACCGCTGTTTACAGATACTGAGAAATATAACATTTGAATCTCTTTTCTCTTTTGCTCTGAGGCGCAGGGGAAACATATCGACAAGTCGATGAACATCATTTACAGATATGTTGGGTAAATGCCCAAGACATCTATAGAAATGTAAATCGCCGCTTGATTCATTAATTTGCTTAACTTGTTTTGGACCATAAACAAGGCGCTAATAGGACACCGGAAACAAAGCTCCCCACAGGTGTTTCCACACCGGAAATAGCATATGCTATTGGCTTCTGGCCCTTTAAACTCTGAGCGGCTGTAACTTTGGTTTCTTTTGGTCAATTTGCCTGATTGACACCTCATTTTAATCGTTTGAGCCAAGCGATTAAAATGTAACAATGTAACAATGCCACAGTAACAATGCCACGTTCACGTCACTTCAACCAATCAGACGTTGCAAGGCCAAAAACCACGTCGGCCCGAATTTACTGCATATGACGTCTGTCCAGTCACACGTCTGTCGGTGGGTCTAAAATGGAGGTTGTCAAAGGAAAACAGCTGTGATGCGGCTAGTTAGGCGTGGTAACTGCTGATAATCACGTGGCTACCGGCGAAAGTAACTGAGGAAATCGGGATGGTAAGCCAATTTCTGTCTTATAGAATTTGCGCCGCTGTGTGGATTTTTTGTGGTCTTCTTTGGCGGCTCATTCAGTGAATTTTGGTCAGAGTGTGGTGAAACTTGGTGTTTGGAGTCAGTAATAGCTCTGGAAGATAACTAGCCTTTCGTTAGCCGGTTATATGAAGTCTGAAGAATTTCTTGTTCGTTTCGTTTGTTTAGGGGACGTCTGCACATTTACGTAACTGCTCGTTTAATCATGGTTTGTTTTCGGTGTGTTTGGTGGTTGTAGAAATGGTTTATATGACATTTTAGCTGAGATTCTGAGGTTTCTGTGGATACCACACATGTCTGGACTTATATTTCTCACCCCGTGTTATGACCGATTAAACCTGATCTCCTCCTTTTTGCCCCCGGTACCGGGGGCATGGGGCTTAAGTGGCTAGGGACTAAATGGTTTGAAGTGGTTGCTAGGTTCCTATTTAGGCTGCTAGACACAAAATTTGCTAATACACAGGCCCTTGGGTTAGCATGCTAAATCTGCAACATATCTGGGTTTTTTTTGTTTTGTTTTGTTTTTTTAATAAATTGCTTCCTTCAGGAAGTCAAGTTGTCATGTGTTTGTGCTCGATGTTTTCACTGTTGTTCTTGATTTCAATATGTTTTTGTATCTGCACAGATCTTCAGTTACCAGTGACAGAGCCAGACATCAATAATCGCCTTGAGTCTTTGTGTTTGAGTATGACCGAACACGCCTTGGGAGGTATGTTTTTCACCGATCCTCATATTTAACTGTAAAATACAATGCTGTGATATGAAAAGTTTAGTTTGGCTGAGGACAAGAAGAAGAGCCTTTTATAAAGAAGTGCTCTAATAAGCTGCATAATCAATAATATAACGTTGCCCAATGAAAGCTGTGAAATTTCCAGCGCAGCATTGTGAGCTTTAAGGGAAGGTTTAAAGTGGATTGTAGTTGGTGGATGCAGTGGCTGTCAAAGTTCCCTGTTTCTCCTGTGATCTAAAGAAGCGCTTAATGAATCCAATCACAAATTTTCATGAAAGACATTTTAAGCGGCTCAGTTAGCTGAAGTTGTTATTTTCTTACTATGTTCAGGTCATGTTCTGTTTTTGACACAGGAAGCAGTAATCAGTAACCTGTTTGTGTGCAATATTATCTATTCTGTTTCTGTCATGTGAGAATTGGAACAAATAGTAAGCAGCACACTTTTGCTCTTTCTCAGATTCTATCAAAGTCAGATAGCTGGTGTCTTACTATGGCTTGATCTCCTCAATTGATTTTAACATTGATGTAGGACCTGATTGACCCTTCCCAACACTGTTGGCTTTTAGAGCTTTAGATTTTGACTCCAGACTTGTTGGAACACAACAAGGATTTTTCAGATGCTTTTGATTTTGAAGTTTAAATCTGGCAAGATAGGTCCAAAAAATGCTAAGTTGGGAAACTGACAGCGACTCTGCAGTAAAGTCAAGTTCATTTAAGACGAGGGAGATAAATGGAATAACCACAGTATTTACAAAAAAAAACAAGTTTTAGCAGCAGATTTCGCCAGTATATATTATTAGATATGAGCTGCTGAGCAACTTGGAGCAATGTGACTTTTTGATCCAACTCATTGATTCCCGAACTGTGGGCCACAGCCTCCTAGTGGCCTGCTGAAGTAACACAGCTGTGCTAGAAAATGTTGTTTACCATAAATTCTTATTTTTTATAAAGGTTTCAACATTTTAAAATAAAAAAAAAATAGGACTACATAATTAATAAATAAACAACATTTAGTTTTAGTGAGTTGGCAGTCTGAAATTCAGGGATGGCTGATCGAATCAATCAATACTGTAGTTTAGCATGCCAGAGTGTTGCTGTAAACATTATTTTTAATTGATGCCTAATAATACATGTAAACGCATAATCTAACGATATGAACAGCTTTAAAAAAAAAAAACGTTTATAATGATGTGGCGCTTTAAATGCTGATCTTAAAAAAAAAACAAAAAAAAAACCGCCATGTCTTGTACATTAAATGAGCTTGTAAATGTGTCAGTACTGTACAGGACTGTAGTGGATGAGACCTTAATCGAGTCAGACTGTTGTTGACCTGGTTGTGGAAACTATACTCGTATGTACAGTGAGTTTTAGTCTCGTGGCCAAAACTCAGCTGAAGTGAAGACAGTGCTTCTCAGTCCTCAGCACAGAACGATGAACAAGTGTTGCTTTATGCTGCTGTATGTGTGTGTATGTTTATGTATAGCAGAACTGGGCATAGCAAAAAAAACGAGTGCATCGACCTTTAAAAAATAAAAAATAAAAAAATAAAAATGCCCTGTATATCAGAATTTTTACCTTTTTTTTTTTCTTTTTTTTCTTTCTTTTTTTTCTGTTTTCTGAAACATAACTTGGTAACTTAACTCAAACCACAGGAAGTGACCTAAAATGTTTGATGGCATAAAAAATAAAAAATAAAAAAATAAAAATGCCCTGTATATCAGAATTTTTACCTTTTTTTTTTCTTTTTTTTTCTTTCTTTTTTTTCTGTTTTCTGAAACATAACTTGGTAACTTAACTCAAACCACAGGAAGTGACCTAAAATGTTTGATGGCATATAGAAAAATATGCTGACTTCTGGAACACAGATGGCCTTTTTTTAGACAGCCTGGACTAAAATGAACTTTGATTAAGCTGCCTCTCGACAAGTGTTCCTTCTCAATTTGTCATGATGTATATTCCCAAACTGCACAAAGTAAAATTGGACTAAAAAAAATGCAAAAGTGTACACACTTCCATCAAGCTGCTTAAGCCAGTGTTACTTTAACAAGACCAGGTTTAAAGGCCTTTGGGTCAATTATAAAACAAAATTCAAGGATAGCTTAACCGTCATAGTTTTGTTTAATGCAGTATATTCTCCCCTTTGCGACACTATTAAACAGCAGCATGCGAGGACATTAGCCCTAACCCTTTTTCTCCTTTTCTTTTTTTCTTCTCGTGGAATTAGAAATCTCCACTGGTGTGCAGCTTGATAACGTTTTCTTCCTCAGCCAAACCAGCAGCAGCAGGTGTCAGACTGTTGTTTTCCTCTGAAAGGCTCTATCAGTATTTTGACAGATGTGTTGTTTTCTCACCATGACAGTGTGAGCCCTAGCCCCCTTGCTGTTCACAGAGTTAGCAAAGCTTCATGCTTTCAGTTCAAATGAGATGACATCATTATTCATAGCCCAGAGTCACAAGCTCCACTACACAAGTAGCCGGATCAGAATTAGATTTGGCTGTTTTTTGTTTTTTTTGTTTTTGTTTGATTTAGTAGAGGGATTAACAGGATGGAGGGGCATAGCTATGTGTTTATAGCTAGCGTGGTTTGATTGTACTGATTTCTATGGTGCCACGTTCAGAAATGATAGAGAAATAAATTCTCTAGAATTCTGTAGACTTGTGTGTGTGTGTGTGTGTGTGTGTGTGTGTATGTATGTGTGTGTGTGTATGTGTGTGTGTGTATGTGTGTATATGTGTGTATATGGTGATGTGTGTGTGTGTTGTGTGTGTTGTGTGTATATGTATGTGTGTGTATGTGTGTATATGTATGTGTGTGTATGTGTGTATATGTATATGTATGTATATGTATATGTATGTATATGTTATATGATGTGTATATATGTGTGTATATGTGATGTATATGTATGTATTTGTGATATATGTATATGTGTGTGTTGTAGTGTGTATGTGTGTGTGTATATGTGTGTATATATATGTGTTATGTGTATATATATGTGTGTATATATATATGTGTATATATATGTATGTATTTATTTATTAATTATTATTATTATTAGCTATCAAACTCGCTGGAGAGATGATTGAAATGCACTGAGTGTGATGCAGTATGGCAGCGCTATTATGGAATATGCTGTGAACTTAACACATATCACTGCTAAGTAATGTTAGCTTATTTACTCAAGTGAAAGCTTTAAACACTAGCCTGATACATAACTAGCTAACTTAAGGCTTTCTGATTAACCCTCTGGGGTCGACGGACCCAGAGTCTCCATTTCAACTTAGGTTGTACGTGCGGACTTCAAACTATATACCAGTTTTAAAATTGTGTTGATAGGCCACGTAAAACCGATGGGTATTTTTTTCGTTTTTTTTCTGAATAACACAGTGGTGTTTACTTTGGGAAGAAACTGTAAAAATGGCGTTTTCTAAGGAGAGCGCTAGCAAACGCTTTGCTTGTGAGTGAAAAAAGACAAAGAAAAAACACTCCTTCCCTATTTGCGGAAAAATGTACCATGTCAACCAATCAAAAATGATATGGCAACATGTGGCATTTGGTTCTTTGGGAAGAGGGGGAAGTTTTTTGGAGAGAGAGAGCGAGAGTGAGAGAGTTTTGATACGTGAGAGATTTGTGACGTTTACCGTGTTTGGAGTCTCAAGTTAGTGTGTTGTCTTGTGTAGCTGTTGTTTTGTTTTGTGTGTCAGTTCTACTAGTGATCGTCACAGTTGCTGCAAAAAAGCCACCAAAGGCAGATTGCAGTGTAAACGCTGAGTGACACACCTGCTGTCAGACCTGCAGGTTTATCCCTGTGCTGTTCTCATCTGTGTTATAGTGGACACAAACTATTTTTTGGAGTGGCATAAATAATTTGTGTGCTTTCTTATTTGATGCAGAGCACCTGATTGTTCTGTAAATAGTTTTAAATGGTTATATAAAAAACGTCTGAGCCTTGGCTGCATTTTTAGGTAAATAGTACCATATAACTTTGTTGTTTGCAAAACTTGTGCATATTTTTAAAAAATGTACAATTTCTATTTGTATTTTAAGTTATGAAAATGATTCCTTAAACATGCTTGTGGTTTCTACAGTCAAAAATATCACTTTCTACTCGTATTTTAAATTTTGTCTGAATTTAGATAAATTGTGCTGATACAGTTTGTCAAAATGAGTAAATAACAGATTGGCAAGATAAACAGTTTTTAAAGGTGAAATATAGAGGCCAAATCAAAAGTAGTCAACAACGGCCAATTACACCCTGGACCCCAGAGGGTTAAAGGCTAAAAGCAAAGTTGTCACCAAGTACTGTTTATATTTCTATGTATTTCTGCAGCTTTTTTAAGTATTAACTTGGTGCGTTTGGGTGAAATAATGGTAATATGAGGGACCGAGCCATATGGTCACAAAGAATAGCCACTTGTTTCTGTGCTACCAAAGTTCCCCGGCTTTCATTCAAAATGTGTTTATGGTCAGCACCTGCACATTAAACTACTTAAACAGTCAGTGCTGTTCTCCATGCCTGTCTGACATGTTATTAGCACAAACACTTTAAAGGTGATCATTTAGAACTTCAGCATTAATACAGACAGCAATGTAGTTAGCAATAAAACAGTTTTATTGGGAATTCACTTAAAAAACAAACATCTGTCTCCTATTTTAAGAAGCATCAATATCTGATGAGAAGACTTTTTTTCAACAGGAGAAGAATATCTCTAACAAGTTGATTTGTTCACATTTTCACATCTTAATTTTTAAGTGAAATGTGCATTTTGAGTTTATACACTATGTATATAAGGCAACGGTTTCCTTTTGCAGTATTTTTGTGCGGTGTGTTTTTCTATGTCTTAACAGAAGGGGAGCAAAGGTGTCTTTTCACATGGTCTTACTGAGGTGATGCGAATTGAAGCATGCATTGCGTGTGGGGGGTGTGCTGGAAAAGCTTGAAAAGGGACCTTGAAAGTGCTTAAAAAGTGCTTGAATTTGACCCTGAAAAAGGCGTATGAGCCCTGCCTTTCACACTCACTTTAAATTTTATGCAGGAAGACAACTGAGACAAGTACAATGAAATTACATCAGCCCGTCACAAGATACTTCTGTCCAATCACAAAGAAGAAAGTTTCCCTAATGGTTCCTTATTAATGTAAGGTCATGTTTTCTCAAATATTGTGTTTCCTCTTTTATTATTTAGTTTTGTGTTTTGTACTTCAGGGTTAGAAACCAATTGGAACGTAACTGCTCCTAAACCCCATCAGGCTCTCTGTTGTTCAAATCAGCTTCATCTCCAGTTACTTTATATTGCAAAGACCCTACACTGGGGTTGGGCCATATCATACCGTTCATGGTAATACCGGTATAATATTGGGCAACACTAAGAAAATGAAATAACGCGATAGAATATGGGTAAAACACGCATGCGCAGTGCCTTTGTTTTCATACGCACATGGCGGAAAAAGCATTTCGCCGACGGAGAATGAGAAGGGCGAAAGCGGAATGTTGAATGAAACAGATGAATCAGAACTGGTTTGTAAAAATGCTGCAACTTCAGTGGTGTGGCACTGGTTTAGCATTCGTCTGTCAGATACACAACAAAGCACTATTTTTGGTAGAGCATGCTAGCGGGCTGTCGTTATTACCGTGTTGTTTGGAAAATACGGCGCACTTAAAACCAATCCTTTGATTTTTCTGAAAGTCGACAGTGCCCCTTATAATCCTGTGTGCCTTATGTATGAATTCTGGTTGTGCTTACTGACCTTGAAACGGTTTTATGTACACGGCGCTTGAAAATCTGTCAAATGTTTTAGTACGACTTTGCTAAGCTACGAAGCCGCACCGCTTGATGGATTGTCGGAGCATTACGGCTATCGTAGGCAGGAGCCTCGCGGAATGATACGTACTGTGCTTCAACATAATATTACTGTATTGTGTGTGTATAACCTCTTTTGAGTTTTGTGGATATTATACATGGTTATGCTGAGGATATGTCAGCCAGTTTCAACTGGAAATGCCTTTTGGTTAAACTGTCAGCAAGGAATTTGCATTTGCACTGTTAAATTTTTATATAACTTTAATGCACATAAACAGCTGCTTGTTTAAGTGAAAATACGTAGATTTGTGGAGTCGTAAAGTATTTTGTCTAGTGTCAATTATATCGTCAGTTATATCGTTATCGAAAATTTTCAAATGTATATGGCTGTTTTAGTTTTATGTATTATGTGTTTTATTTATTTATTTTGCTGTATTCTGTTATTCTATTGTTTTAACTTATTTTCTGTACAGCACTTTGTTCCTGTGCTGGGTATTTTAAAGTGCTTTATAAATAAAATTGGATTGGTATATCGTGATAAATATTTTTGGTCATATCGCCCTGCTCTACCCTACACTAATACAGAACAAAACCAACCATCAACCGACCTCCCATGAGCAAACACCTGGTAACAATGGGAAGCAAATCTTCATTTCAACAGGAAGAAACCTCCAGCAGAACCATGCTGAAGGAGGGGCAGCTAGCTGCAAGCAGAAAGTTAATATTTAATTTTCTCATGTTTCGTTTTGTGTCCAATTCATAAGCTGAAGTTTATCTTGGCAAACTTTGGTGATAAACCGGGAACAGGAAATGGTAGTGGTGGGGGCCTGAGGAGTCATGACTGCCTTCATTTGCACATTTGATTCCACAATCACTCTCTGTCAGGGTTAATAACGTAATTGCTGACTTAAACTGTGATGCCTCTTCTTCTCTCTGCTGTTCCTGTTTAGATGGTGCAGATCGCACATCAACAATATGAGCTGAGGACCTGAGTGAGAGCAGCAGGACGGCGCAGGTTTGGGGAGCTCTCTCACAATCACCTTGAGGTCACCAGCCCTTTCGTTCCCTCTCCCTGTAGCCAATGGTAGAGCTCAACCAAAGGACCGGGCGGGATCCAAGATACACTAGAGAGCTGACCATCAAACAGCTCACACAAGCTATCACACTGGCACCGTCCAACGGGCTGGAAAAACACGCTTCCTGCTCGGGCAGCACACTCAGTCACCTGTATGTGAGTGAGGAGAATGGAAAGCACCGAACGCGGCCTGGAAAGTGTGTACAAACTTTCCCCCTTGTTCCCACCCCCCACCCTGCCCTTCCCATGGAGAGGCCAGAAGCAGTCCAGTTAGCCTCAGCAGAAGAGAGATGCTGGGCTTTGGATCAGGGCTCAGTGAGACTTTCTCTTGCCCACATTGTCTGGTCCCTGCACATTGACCACAGTTTGTGGCATCTTTCAGATCATAACAGTACCTCAGACCCAAAACATGATGAGATGAGCAGAGCCACAGGGATGCAAAAAGGAAGCTTGGGATTTCCCAGACTGGTTTCAGCAGGATCACCGTGTCCAGGATGGTTTCTTGGAGAGCTCAAAAAGGCCGCTTGCTCAGTACTGGGTGGCAACAAACCTTTTTCTTTCTATTGTATGTATTTAATGTTTACATTATGATGCTACTTTCAGAGGGTACAGAGACATTTATGAATTTCAGGTATGATTTACATAATATATTCTGTAGAGCCTTGGCTTTCTACAAGCTTTACTTCCCACGAGTAGCCATCACATTAGTTTACAACCAACATACTTATTCTTTATTTTAGCAGCCAACAACAAAGATATGTTGGCCTGAATATTAATGGAGAGAAAACGAGATGGGAACTTGAAAGAGATGGAGGTAGCACGGAGAGGGATATGAGGAAGAAGGGGGATGTGGAGAGAGACACAGAAAGTAGTAGAAGAAAGAACCAAGCTGAAGTGATATTAGAAAGGGAAGAGGATGTTTAAAGGAGAGAGACATCAGAGGCAGGACCTTTGATTAGCTGGAAACGACGGAAGAAGATTATGTCACGTCTGATCGTGCCCTTAGTCTGTTCGTGCAAGTGAGTGTAGCAGGAAGTGGATTTGGCACAGTCAGTTCATCCACAGCATGTACTGTATAAATGTATGTTTTTATAAATATATATATTGGGAGATTAATAAGTCAGTGGGATCTGTCTGCATGTTCAGATACTGGGAGTTAGTTATTTTTCTAAAGCAGGGGAATATGCTTAAGCTGCATGTTAAAACTAAAGGAAGATTGTGAAATTTAGAGTGGAGGTGGTGTCGGAAGCAATGGGAGGCGGATTTAGTTTCCACTCAGATCTTTTTTTTTTTTTTCTTTTCTTTTTTCCTTTTCATGAGAGGATTGCAACATTGGAGAAATGAAACACTTGTCAATCCATGAAGGGAAGTTTTCCCTGAGATCTCATTAGTGCTTACCTCCACCTGCTGGCCAGTTGCAGTCATGTGCGGGACAGATGCTGAAGTCCAGGGAGACGCAGGCACTAAAGATGCCAGCAGAACAATAAAAACTCATCGGTGAACATTTGGGCAAATATCAAAGCTGGTTGGTTGCTTGTGTATCTTGGCCTTCTGTCAGTTCTGTCAGTGCAGGCCTCCATCATATGAAAATATTTTTGTTTTTATTCTAATCTCATGGTTATTCTGTGTCTTAATATTTATCCTTAGTTGTTTTGTGCCTGGACTCTAGACTTTATAGGATTAGGTTTATATTGAAATAAGCTGGTTAGGTTAACTCCTTTCCGTGCTGCTTTCAACCCAGCATGCGAGTCCTCAACCTGAAAGGTCAGCTTTGAGGTTTATCATTATTATTATTATTATTATTGTTTAGTTTATTAGTTTCTTGCAATTCTGTCATATTTCCTTTGTATCCTGCACTTGATATGATAATGTGAGACACTACAATCCAAATTTTCAAGGCTCGAGCAACGATGCTTTGCTTTGGAGTCGGATCAAACAGAGCAGACGGACACTCGTTCTCGACTGTAGCATTACAGCCTTGCTGGACAGACAGACTGATGTTGAGAAGCAAAGCACAAAAGGTGGCAACGATGAACCCAGAGACAAAAAAAAGCTTCTGATGCCTCTCATTGACCTGTCTAAAGGTTGGAAATACCGCCTGATCTGAAGTACCCCACACACACAGTTCAGTGGCCATACAAGACTTTGTGCATGTTTTAGTTCTTCTTTCTTTTCTTTTTTTTTTTAAATCACTTTTCAAATGTTTCTCAAAGTTTCTTGGAAACATAATCTGTTGATTACGATGGCATTAGAATCAGAATGACCCGTTTCTGGCCAATAACAACCAGCAATTTGAAATCTTCAGACTGGTTTCTGATTTGATTAGTTTAACTAATTACTAAGGTTACTTTCCAGGCTTTTTAAAATGGTTGTCCATTGCCATTAGTTATATCGGTCACTACATAAGTAGAAATTACTGGTATGTTTGGGAGAATGGAATTTAAAAACACTCTGAGTGTGGGACTTTATAAAGACAAAAACATGCATAAATTCTGATGTGGTACCTCTCTGCAGCCCATCCTCATCCTGGCCAGCTGAACATGGCTTCAGATATCGTGATGGCAGCTCAACACTGCATTCTGGATCTGTGCACACACACATGATCAAGTGTGTGTGATGGTATGCATGTAGTCTGGTTGCTATGACCCTGATGGACACTTCAGGTTTTACTTGGTGTGGATTAAGAGTGTGTTTTGCTCTTGCACCCTGAGTCATGTTTGTGAACAAAGGTTCCACCAAAGCGTGAGTGGGTCACAAACCTGTTTCAGCCCCACGTGGATGCCGCACCTTTGACGTGGTCATTGTTTGTTGGTGCCCCTCGCTGACGGGCAGCATCAGGATGTCATCATATTCAGACTCTTTCAGTGTCACTGCCATATGAATCAGTACTTAAAGTAGAAACTACTATTTATTCTTTTTTTCCTTTCTTTTTTTTTGTTGTTGCAGAGGTGATGCTCATGTGGGTGTAATATTATTTAAAATACCATATGTATTAACATGTTATGGCTGGTGACCATAAGTACATCTCAAATATTAACATAGTTATTGTGGACTGTTTTTTCTTTTTGTTTGTTTGTTTTTGTTTTTCTTGCTGTTGATGAACTACGATATTATTTGTATCTGTCATGTCATGTTAAGATGTTTTGGGGGTTTTTTTTGTTTTGTTTTCTTTTTTTAATTTGAAGCCGAGATCAAGAACTGGTCCTTCAGATACACCAATCCATGGTCAATTAGAAAGTTTGTTGTTTTTAGCATACATTGTTGTAGTGTGTGTGAGATCAGGAGGTAGATGGGTCCTTGCAGGCCATGTCTTTCTTTGAGTTCTGTTTGGGAGAGCGAGGCTTCAAAGTTTCTGCGTATGCCGCTTGTAAAGGTGGCATTGCTATACAGTTTTCTCACTGTGGACAAATCTAATGAAAAGACCCGAGACCACATTCGACCATGTATCAGTCCAATCATCAGTGCTTTCTGGCCATTTCCTGTCTGTGGCACACAACAACGACGACGACGTACACGCACAGTAAGATGGTATACTTGGAGTGGGGTGCTACTTTTATGTGTTACATGCATTGAGTGAAAATGAGTGGCGTGTTGGTGGATGTGCAGTAGTCCGGCTTGCTTTATGGCACAGAGGAGGAGGCTGTGTGAGGATTTGATGGTCATTGCTGGGGTTTTTTTGTTTTCTTTACGTGAGATGCGTTCATAATGAGAAAAGTTCTGCAGTCAGTCATGTAATCAAAGGGATTATTAAAAGGGGTTTTTTTGTCAGTATTTTTATGTACTTTTATATCGCTGTGCATTTATTTTTTTCCAGAGTTATGGTTTTGAATTTTAAAAAGTGCCATATTTATATGAATACTGACTGACAGCAAGTTCGTGTGATTTTTAACAAAGTTGCGCGGATTGTATTTTGAGCACAGAGCAACATGGCAGGCCTCCACTTTCTGCTCAGCGGTGGTTTCTTGCAGCATCTGTGGGTCAGAAATACAAGTGTGAGGACAGAGGGGCATACCTGTGAGGGATGATGGCTCTTCACGTCAAACCAAATGCTTTTCCTACATGCATATCAGCTCTGTGGGTGTCCAGGAAGGCTTCTAGCGCTGTGCCCACTGCAGTATTAACAGCTAGATGACGCCTTGATATTCCAAAAACATTTAATGTACTTTTAAGTCAAGACACGTATGCTGTTTTTGTATCTTTTATTTCTGTCATAGATTCTGCAGTTTAGTACGTTGTTGTTGTTTTTTTGTTTGTTTTTTTGGTTTTTTTTTTTTTTTTGTAAATTCAGCAACATCCATTCTGTAACAAATTGTTACCGCTTGATTGTTCGCCTTTTACTTCATTTAGTTTTATTTTATCAAAGAGCCGATGTCCTGTATTGACTGCAGGCTTACGTATATATTTGACAAAAGAATATTGTATGTTTAATAATGAAAACAAAATCCACACGAAAAGACAAAAAAAAAAAAGGAAATATAGGAAGAAAAAAAAGGAAATGGAGAAAATTGAGGGGGGTGTAATTTATATTTTAAAACTGCATGCACAAGGCTGGGAAAGTCATATTTAGAATAACAAAATAACAAATGGCAGTGCCTTTTTCTTTTTTTGTACTCGAGACATTTAGCCCAAATGTAAATGGTTTTATATGGACTTTAAAAACTGTAATGATACAGGATGAAACGCGCAGCAGGTGTGAGGTCACGTTCACACTGCAGCCCTGAAATGTCAAAAGTTCACATTAAGCTCCACTTATATTCATGTACAGGTGGGTAAAAAACAAAAACAAACTAACATTAGCTTGATTAACTTGCGAAATCATATAGTTTTATGTTGTGTCCCAAAACCCTCTTATATTTGACACTCACTGAGGACTTTTTGGTTGTTAAAAATCAGATTTTTACCTGGCTACAGCACTGATCACTGTCCATATCTGTGATATTCAGTAACGCGTGTATGTAGAACTGCAGCTGACTGCTAGTTTTAACACCACTTAATTATATAATTACTTGTTTAAAGGGACAGAGAACAATATCCATAATAACACAGTGATTTGTCTCACTGTGACTATGTAAAACCAAAGACGCTCTGTTCACTGTAATGGAAGAGCTTGGTGCTTCCTGCTACCTGAGGCATGAGTTCTGATGTGTTGGATCCTCACCTGGTGGTAACACGGCGTATGCTCACTCATGCAGTGATCCATCCCATAGACTACCAATATATATATATAAGATGTTATTTGCTAGATTCCACCTTGCAAACCCTTTGTCCTGGTCGAATTCCTCCTTTATGCATTTGGTCACATTGGGCCAGCCTACTCTCTTCTCTCCTGACATGCTCTGTTCATTTGAAACACAGCTGCAGTCTGAAGTGCTGATGCATAGACTTTGATTGGAGGAGGGAGACTGCTCCACCTGATTATTAAGTTAATGCAGCTTCCTAGATTTAAGCTGCTTTCTTAAAATAAATGTGAGGCACGCAGGGTGAACGTGAACTCGGCCGCTCGTCTTGTTTCTGTACTCTGTAGGTACTTCTTAATGCTGAATGAAGTTAAGAATTATTCTGGTCTCAACAACAACAAAAAAACGTGTGAATGGCTATGTGACAGTGAGAGAGAGGTTTTGTGTGTTTGTGTGAGAGAGAGTTTTAGGATACATTCAAGTATTTTTAATGTGTCTTGCTGTACTTCTGTTGCGATGTACCAGAATGCTGTGACTTGGCATGCCCTGTTATACATTAAAAAAAAGAAAAGAAAAAAAAAGAACAAGCTGCAAGTTGTCCAGTGTTTTTGTACAAGTGCTGGTTAATTTTAGGGGGGGGAGAGAATCTGTCTCTTGTCACAGTGTCTTCTACAGCTTCTACAGAAACACACCATCTCAGGAGTCCCAAGCTTCATCATTTTCTCTTAGTAAATCTGATCCGTTTGCACTTATACAGAAAAACTGACATTCTTTTTGGAACATTAGCAAAGGCAGTGCAATAGTTCGCACATATGATTACTGTGACCATTACATGTTGCCAAAATGATAACCGTGACATTAAGAACAGAGTACAGCAATTCAGTATTTGCAGTATGCCATATACAAATGAACATTTGTATTACAGTCTGTGGTGGAGGTGTGGTCTGCAGCTCGGCTGCAGAGGGGGGGTGGCGCCGGCGAAACTGGCAAGGCAGCTGGAAGCAATTCAGTAATTATGCTCTGTGTCAGTGATGCCGGGACCTGGAGGAAGAGGGGACAGGTGGAGACGGCTGGAAAGCTGTCAGAATGAGGGAGTGAGACACTGAGAAACACACATTTTGTAAATAAAAACATGGTCATAACCACGCCAAGTGTCTGGGGTCGCATAGCTCAATGCTGTCCCGTCCAACTATGAGCACTAGGAGCTGGTTTGAAGCTCTACTGAATTTAGACCTGCGGTCAACTCTATCAGATAACTCCTCTTTACAAATGGGTAAAACATCAGTGAAAACTCAGAGACCTGCTAGTCTCCTGAAGCATGGTGCGTACACACTCTCTCACGCACACAAAAAAAGCATTAAGCAGTTCAAATCACTCAACCACAAAAATTAAAACTGATTAATGAAGTTATTTTAGTAACTTAGCTATTTCTGTCCACAAAGTAACATGGGCAGCCATCTGGCCTGACTGGTTGGGGGTGAGGGGAGGAAGACAGGACAAAAGAGAGATGGGAGTGAGAAGACAACACCTAATGGCATGGTGGAGAAGAACGCTCAGTGCATCACAAGATATTCCCAAACAGGCTGAACTTAAAGCGTGTCAGGCATCCCCTGACACAGCCCTGTGCTTTATTATAAAATGAAAGTTTGTTGTCTAATCTTAATTTAATCTGATCAGATTTCTGTAAATGAACGTTTGTGTGAATCAAACCAGTAGCTACATGTAAACGACGCTTTCTTCAGTGATTCAATTTCCTGTTTGTGATTGTCGTTTTTAAATGCAGTGAACAATAAACATGTTGATATGTTCATTTGATTTATTTGAAGTTAATTTTGAAGCAAATCTCAGCTGTCTTTAAAAATCTGATATGTTAAGTCATGTTTATAATTTCTATATATAAATTGCCTCTCTACTGTACCAGTGACCAAAGCTGACTACGGAGCTTGGAAAGAAGAAGAAGCTTCTTGGATGAGAGGTGAAACGTCTTCAAGCAACTTAAAGAAGTCCAGACGCTTTTCTTTCCAAGCTCCTTAGACTATGATGACCTGGATGACTGAGAACCTTCACAGACGTTAAGTTAAAAGTTTGCGTTTATGCTGTATGTGTATATGTATATGTTTGAATCTGTACTCAATGACCATAAAAACATTGTGTGTTCCATTAGTTTATTCAGCATTAAGATCCCCTCAGTTAAAAATCCGATGTACTGTTTACCAACTAGAGTTTGTCTGCATATTTCTGCACATCATCTCTCAGGCTCAGACATTTACAAACCTCTCTGGAGAGCATAAAATGCTGCCTAGATTCAAGTAAATGTCACCTGAACTTTTCTCATTTGTGAACACAACTTTCACACAGTAGGTCACGAGAACTTGGTTATCATCTCGAAACAACCACCAGGGGGAGCCCAAGTTGGGATATTTTGCATCCAGCACACAGTAATGGAAAAGAGTTGTGGTGGTGCAGTGTTAGATTTACTTTCAATTTTACTTTAAGATACTTGCTTTAAAAGTATTGAAGGAAATATGATGATGACCCAGGTTGTGTCAATAAACAGCTGACTATTTTTTCATGATAACAATAACAGCAGTGTGTCCCGGCAGCAGTTTAACAGCATTAATTCTAAAATGTTATTTGAAAAATAAATAAAGAAATGAAATGGGCACTTATACTTTTTATATTCTCAGTTTCAACATTCAATATGTCATCTCGGTACTATACTCAGTTAAATGTAGGCTTGTATCAACATTACAACCAACACTTGCTCCTGTTACTTTTCCTGCAGCACAGATTACTATCACAGCAGTCCTGCTGTTGATCTGTAGGTGTGCAGCCTGCAGGAGCCATCACCATCAAGGAGATGTTTAGGATTAAGCCTTTGAATACTGTCAGAAACTTTTTAAAGGGAATTCAATCTTAAGCCTTTAGTTCCACATCACGAAGCAGAGTCAGTGTCCAAACTGAGAGTAGAGCTGCTGAGTCATGCTCTGTCAGACACCCAGACCCCGACCAGCTCCACCTTCCCGCTGCTCTCTCTGGGCCCAGGGCCAGATTAACCCAGTAAGTGACCTCAGGGCTAAAATGAGCTCTGGGCCCCATTTTGTCTGTTTCCACTTTAGTTCAGCATTTTCTTCTTTCCCTTTCAGACCAGGGTTATATGAACTTCTCACTGCTCTTTTTACCATTTCCAACATAACTCTGTAATGGATCAGATGGCAAGATTTAATTTTTTAATGGAATAAATAAACTAGCTTCTAATTGTCCAAAGGCAAATCTATAATATACTTATAATCATTTAGTTAGTGTGTCTAACACAAGCTTGCTGTCATGTAGCAGTGCTTCACTTTTTTTACAGTAACAAATGGTCAAATTACAGAACAAGAGTTGCTCAACCTGAACGTACAACAAACTGTAAGCTGGATCTACAGCTCCCCTAAGGTTAATCGACCTTTTGACTGTATATAAAAGATAGTTATAGCCACCATGACATCACTGAGCTCGTGAGGTTCCCATATCAACACTGAGGTGAGTGGTTTTATCTTTTTGAAAATAGATATGAAGTGCAGAGTATGGATCTGACCTGGAATCTGAAACAATTTATGCTAGTTGGTTATCTGTACCCCAATTAGATTTTCACTCAGGATTATGTGGGGATCTACTCACTTTTGGAGCTTTAGAGGAAGTGCAGCTCCGTAGGTCATCTCCTGGTCAGCACTAAACAGTCACATCTGCAGCTGAGGAACCAGACATGTACCTCTGAGGTTAGAAGAAGCAAAGAGCCACAACAAAAGCAGTTTGTTTGCTTGTTTGTTTCTTTAGCACATTGCTGAATTAAAAATGATAAAGAAAAAAAAGCAAAGCTAAGCTAACTTGTCGGCTTAACTTGGTCAGGAAAACAAGTTCATTTTAATTTAAAGATATGTCAGTGCCAAAGCTTTAACCCGATAACTGTGCAAATGTTTCATGGAAGAGCAGCACAGCACGATAAAACGGATGCACAAAATAGCTGATAAGCTACAGTTGCATAGGTCTGTTTTGGACCCTGTTGTCCCGCAAAGGTTGACATTGTGCGTCCATGTCTGTAAGTTAAAGGACAGAGAAATGTGACAGCAGCTAATGAAATGTGGATGCTAGTCTGAATCTTTGGTCTTACTGCACAGGACTATGCAGCTGCAATATCCAGGACATTTGAAGAAATGTTGCTCCAGCGGTTCCTTGGACAAATATGGTTTCTGAAATTTGACTAGTTGAAAGTATCTGTTTCTGTGTGTGGCAAAGTTAATGTAGACAAAAGACCATAGGTATCAAATGTGAATTTATAAAATATGGAAACAATATCACCCAATACTATCTCCCTTAGAGATAGGGTGAGAAGTTCAGCCATCTGGGAGGGGCTCGGAGTAGAGCTGCTGCTCCTCCACATTGAAAGGAGGCAGTTGAGGTGGTTCAGGCATCTGACAAAGGATTCTTCCTGGGCGAGGTGTTCCAGGCATGTCCTTCCCACCGGGAGGAGGCCCCAGGCAGACCCAGGAAATGCTGGGGCTGGCCTGGGAACACCTTGGTGTTGCCCCAGACAAGCTGGAGGAGTTGGCTGGGGAGAGGGAGGTCTGGGCTTCTCTGCTTAGGCTGCTGCTCCCGCAACCCGGTTCCGGATAAGCGGAAGATGATGGATGGATGGAAACAATATCAAACTTCCTCACACATGCCTACACTGTTTTAATAAGTGTTTTCTTGTAATTGTACATTTATTTACTCGTGTATTTTAACATTTTGTTACTAATCAAAATTCTAGGGAAGTCTGACATATTTGTTTCACATGCACTTAAAACAACATATCCATAGTCTGAGGTAATAACTGGTTACACACCACGTTTCTGATGTTTTGATAACAATTACAGTGAAGGGTAGTTTTGTCTGAATTTCAGGGCAGAAAATTACAGTTCATCAAATAATTTATTATGTACAACATGCCTGTAGTTTGTCTATTTGATTTGTGCCATCTGGCGTCATAGATGAACATAAATGGGTATCATCTACAAAGTAATGAAAACCTATGCAGTGTTTTCTAACGATATTGGTGAAGTAAGCTCGTATAGAATAAGAAGGTCTTATATCACCAGTCATGAAGCTCTGTCTGTGTCATAGCACAGAACTTTATGACTGACTTTTGAATCTATCAGATGGATACGATCTTTTTCTTGATTTACAATGACTTTTTAAACAATTCTTGAACTAAAGGTAAGATTGGTAATCAGTCTCTATTTAGCTGAGACAGCTGAATAGACTGAGGGCTTTTTAAGGACTGGTTTAATTACAGCAATCTTAAAAGCCTGTGATACATACCCTGTTAATCCTACTAATACACAAAATCTCTATCTGCCCTCCTACACAAACAAGACAGGTGCAGCCAAACTTGGCACACAGGTACATGTTAAGCTTTTATTTAGATTACATATTATAGTGATTGGTGGTTACTAGCAACCACCTACCAAAGGACAAAAAATCTATAGCATTTATGCCTCTGTAACTCCTTATAAAAGCACAGTATAAAAAACATCCATTTTATATCCACAGAACATCAATATTAAAATATACTTATATACCACCATTAAAATTACATTTTACAGTATGCAAGCACTCAGGGAGACACACAGAAAGGGAGCTAATTAATATACGTAATCACAACACACCAAACAAAACTGTACTTAGGATAAATTGATTTTATTAGCTGCTTTAGTCCTTCGCCCTCTCCTCACCACCAATCAGTCACGGCAGATGGCTGCCCCTCCCTGAGCTTGTTTCTACTGGAGATTTCTTCCTGTTAAAATTGAGTTTTTCCTTCCCACTGTCACCAAGTACTCACTCATAGGGGGTTGGTTCCCTGTACTATTGTAGCGAATGTTTTTGTGAAATTGAATATTAAACTTTTTGTAGCTTTTGTACTTTACATAGTAAAATATTGTTCATAGCTACTTAAAAAGCAAGTGGTGCATGAACACGAAACTTCCAAAGTCAAACATTTTCCTTGTCTGCTAATGTTGCATGAATTTACGGAAAGCTTTAAAGGAAATAAACTTACATGTAAACTTATGTGTGTGCTGTGAATAAAGACATGGGCGCTGCTGTCACACAGAGGTTTATTTTCTTTGATTAAAAAGTCTTCAACGTGAACACAGTACATGATGCGACAATGATGTCGAAGGGGCCAATGAACAGGCTTTCCTTCTCGACAAGGCCAAAAAAACAACATCAGAGCTGTTTGTTAGCGCCCATCTTCACTCCAACACACACACACACACATATATCCAGTCATCATGTTGCACGTCACAAGTTAAAACCTCCCAAAATCTGTCTGGGGACAATTGTGATGCATTGAAATGTAAAAGCATGAACAGCACACACACCTGTCACCATACTGTTCATCTGCTGGGATGCAAACTGTATGCACAAACAAACGCACTAACTCACACACACACACGCACACACACACACACACGCGCACACACACACACACACACACACACACACTTCATTTGCCTCTCATGGAAATGACAAATTCCAGTTTGGTTGATAAAGATTGGTTTTGTTGTGAGAAGCGAGTTGGCACATGAAGGCAGGCCCTTGCAAAGGATCATAAAACAAATGACAACGAAAAAAATCAAATAAAACTCAGAACACTGGTGTAATGTAAAGATGCAGTCTGAATGTTTCCATTGATGATTCCACGCAATTTGATATTAAAATTATGTTAATACAACAACAACAATAATGTCAATAATAATAATAATACATACGTCATGGTAAAGACTCTAATTTAAATTTGAGTTGTAAATTAATTAAAAAAAAAAAAAAGAACAGACTGAAGGGCTAAAAAGTTGTGACAGCAAATTTTAGAAATGAGGTTCTTAAAGAGTGACACAGTGTTAAAGTGCCAAACAGCATGTTTAAAGCTCAAACGCATGAACCAATGACACAAAAAATCTTATCCAGGGCTATAGCTGTTTGTAATTACGTTTTCTATTTATACTTTTTTTGGGGGGGGTTTAAATAAATGTAGTTGGAAAGGCCCCAGAATTCAGAGTGATACTGTTAAAATGGTTGGTCAGTCTAACACCTGGAGATACGTTAATATATGTAAAAACATTATATTAAAAAATTAGTCAGCAGGTTTGCTTTCAAGCAACTTAAAGAAGTCCAGATGCTTTTCTTTGCAAGCTCCTTTGACTACGATGACCTGGATGACTGAGAACCTTCACAGACGTCAGCAGGTTTAGTTTATATAGACTTTATGAAGCCTGAAAAGAGAGCCCAGAGAAGGTTCAGACCACTTGAATTATAATATGCTGAGAGGTTGTTGGTTTTTTGGATGTTTTGACCAATGGCCTTCAAAGCTTTGCACTGAACCTGTTACACTTGGCCTTATTTTATGTCATATATATTGTTCGAATGGTGGACACTTACATTAAACACGGCCATTTTCACTGTATGTACAAGCTCAGGATATAGGCTTGCTCTAAATGATTGGCTTCAGGCCCTTTTTTCTACCATTGACTCTGTATGATGTCATAAGGAGGGGAAATCCTAAATATGGTCGTCTCAGGCACACAGCTCTGAAACCCGTGTTGAACCATTACTGGATCAAACAAATGACGAGTTAATGAGATAATTCTACCTTTAGCACCAATCTGTTGAGAGGAATGGCCACAAAATCAGGTTTATCTACTTACTGAGGAAAAAGTAGACAGACAATAGCGAAAACTAGTATATTTGAGGTCACAACAGCAGTGAGAAGTAAAATGTCCAGACTACAGTGCTACAAGCAATGTTCCATCTAAGCTGCGCGCGTGCGCAATTGCGTGCTGCTGGCACGGTCTCTGCGCACAGAAAATCTGCATTGTGCACAAAAAAAAAATCTAACCTGAATTGAAATTAAAATAAATACGTCAACAATTCTATTTTGCAGTGTTAGTCAATAAGTGACTGGCAGCTCCCGTATAGGATTATAACGATGCCACCTTATCCCATAGTCCAGCCAATAATGCGATTCACACTCGTATATACGCAGCTAATCAACGTTGCTGACAGGCTATGACAGCGTCCTTATGTGCCGACACCGGTGTTTTAGCTAGCAAAGCAGCGTGGCTGGTGTGAAGTGAAGCCACGTTAATGACAATGTGTACAACCATTGGAGATGTGAGCAGGACAGACGGAACAATTGACGGAAAAAGTGTGGACTTTATACCAGTTTTTAAATTGTGTTGATCGGCCACATTAAACCAGAATTATGATTAAAAAAAATATGTGCAATGTTGTTTTTTTTCCTGAATACTGTCGTTGTTTATATTTACTGCGGGAAGAAACGGTAAAAACGGCGTTTTATAAGGAAAACGCTCAAAAGCACTCTCAGCCTGTGAGCAAAAACAACTCCCCCCCACCCCCTTCAGCCTTTCCTATTGGTGGAAAAATGTACTATGTGGACCAATCAAAAAATGATATGGCAACATGGCATATAGTTGTTTAGGAAGGGGGAAGTTTGAGTGACAGCGGTGTTTTGAGATGTGAGAGATTTGCAACGTTTAGCGCAAATCTTGTGTACTTAGTGTGTAGTGTAGTCAATAGGTTGTGTGTGTCAGAACAATGAGGCGACTGCTGAATGTTACAGGTGTTACAGGAGTGATACATCTCCTGTTGTCAGGCCTGCAGGTATCAGGCTTGTGATGTTCTCCTTTATCTCATAGTGGACAGAAATTATTTTTTGGAGTGGCACAAATAATTTGTGTGGCATCAAATTTGATGCAGAACAGCTGATTGTTCTGTAAATAGTTTGAAATGTTTATTTAAAAAAACGCTTTGGCTGTATTTTTAGGTAAACAGCTGCAAAAAACTTTGTTTACAAAAGTTACTTTTTTGAAGAAGTAACTATATAATTAATTGCCCAACATTTGTCATTATATACTGCATTTTGCAGACAGAGAGTTACAGACTCTCTCCCAGACCACAGACTCATAATACAAGTCAGAAAACAAAAGAAAGTTGTGTTTTCAAAATTGGAGTTCAAGTTATTTTTACTTCCAATAGTGTTGACATACTACACAGGTCATGAACAAGATTTGAAATTTTCATTGTAAGTGGGCTAAAGCACTTAATTAAAAGTAGTCTAACATAAATGTAAATGCTGTAATTTGATTATTTTGGATGGATTCGATGCTGGCGTGACCACAGTGCACACGTCTAATGTTGCTCACAGTGGTTCAAGGGACCGCTCAGGGAGATTGTGTGTTCGCTCGGAGACATGAAAATTTAGAGGGAACATTGGCTATAAGTATCTGAGTTTGCACGTTTGCACTTGGTAGCACTTCATTAATAGACAGATGAAGCCGTTAATTTAAAAAGGGCTTGTAGTGACACAGACTCCTCTGGGCTGTTAGACTGTAATGGAAATATTTGATGTTTTTCTAATGCACTTTGGTCAGGGTTAGCTGCCAAGTGTTGCTTGATGTTCTCTCTGAATCTACTGACTTAACATAGGCACCGCTTTTAGTGAGCACATTCTTTGGATTCTGATTCCTTAGTTTTTCAAACCTAAAAGTATTTTTGTTTTGTTTTTTATGGCTTTCAGTCAACAAAATCTGAACCGCTTAGTGTCAAAATTACAGATAATTAAGGAAATACTGGTGGAAATATTTATGCTGTTAGTTTGTTTTTGTCTTTGTGTTATTTACTTGTGTCAGTGAGTATCCGGAGGAGTTAAAAGGACCGGTTACTTTTACAGGGAGGGAATTCTCTCCATAAACTGTCCTTCCATTTTTCCTCGAGGCCTGTGACTGATATTTGAAAGACGAGCACACACACACAACACAAAAGAGCTCAAAGTCTGTCCCGTCGTCTAAAAGCAAACAACGTGTAAACCAGTGGCCTCGCACTAAAATCACAGAGGTAACAGTTCACTTTATCCGATGAGCACAATAACACAGAAAACACCCGCCTCTGCCTTTGATGAGATGGAAACAAACACACGCACACACTTGTACAAACACACTCACACACACACGCAGGTAGCACGGCAGCTGGTTCATGTAGGTTGGAGGTAACCCCAGGCAACAGGAGGAAGGCGAGAAGCTTCATCCCCCTCAACTTTTGATGAGCCTCAGAAACTCGTCGCGGGTTTTTGGATCCTCTCTAAAGTTCCCCAGCATGGTGCTGGTGACGGTTTTACTGTTCATCTTCTGAACGCCTCGCATCACCATACACATGTGACTGCAAGGAGGAAGACAGGAAAGATAAAAAGATTTGATCCAAAAGAAGAGACAAGTGCAAAGACCAAGTCATTTATTCGCTGAGCAACTGAAATGTTTTTAAACGGTTAGAACCTGGAAATTTGTCCAAGAATTTGCGACAATATCATTGAAGGTGAAGAATTTCACATTCAGCAAGCAATTTTTGATTTCTCAGGTCACCTGGTGGGAGGACACCGAAATAATCTCTAAACAGTTGTGGTCTGACTTGAGGTCCCTCTCAGACAGACTGAGAAAGTTTTGCAAATAATTTCCATCATGTTGGAATCAATCTGAGCCAGTCTGTACCGAAGAGCGCAACTCGTCTGCAACACATTTTGATTATCAGCCGGTCGTATTCTGGTTATCTCATATATAACTGTTAACTTTGCACTGTAGGGGGATCTTTGTGAGATTTGCCACATTGTAATAATCGTAGTGTGGAACTAGCTAACAACACTGACTCCTTAGTGGCTTTCAAAGTCTCTTGCACTGTTTTTCCTTGGCAGTGCTTGTCCTGTTGTTTGTTGAAGGTCATCCTGCTACACTGTAACAGACAGATGGTTCATGCAATTGCCACCCAAGTGTTTGTTTAAAGTTCCTGACCTTTTCCAGCCCTAATTCTAACTTCCTGTCCATGTGACAATTCATAAAGGGTTTCAAAATACTTTAATGCCTATACCATGACAACATTATCATTTAAGAACTCTTAAGTGGTAATAAGCCATGTTTTAATACAGATCCTGGTTCCTTCTGGAAATGCAGATTTCTCACATTACATTTATTTCCCCTGAAAGTTCGTGCAGTGACAACAAACCTTTACAGCTGGGCAGAGAAAAGAAGACGAATGGAGAAAGCAAGGGAAAGGAACACAAGATAATACATTTTAAAAGTAAAAGGTCATTTCACTTGTTGGTTCATGTACGTACGTTGCCTCGATGACAACTCCGACCCCAGTGGGCTGCAGTGCCTCTGTAATAGCTACAGCGATTTGTTTGGTCAACCTCTCCTGAACTGTGGACAGAGAGTACAAACAGACGTACGGCCAGAGCAAACAGTCAGCGATCAAGGGCAGTGCTGGTAGAAGTATTCAGTCCTCACAGGACCTCTCCTAACAAATGATCATTTACTGTGTTCGTGAGCTTTAATGTGGCTACATCGTTGTGTAAACATCGCCACAGATGGAGCTAATAAAGTTTTAATTACATTACACACCGTCAGGTAGTTTTTTTTTAATTTAATCAAAGTGTCAGGGCTCTCAAAAGGGACAACACATAAACTTGAGTATTTATGAGTTGGTCTTTGTTTTCATGCAAAATGTTTGATATTTTTACCATTTTGGGTCAAATCAATATCTCGCATAGCGGTGCTGAAGTGGTTACTCGAAGAAAAAAAAAACAACTCAATTTTTGTTGTTTTTAATGGAAAATCATTCAAAAAACCCTCAAACTCAAACATTGAAGGCTCACCCAAAACCATAACCTGCTTTACTGTGCTTTCTGTACTTGACCCTGTAGGGCTTGACTTTATATTTGGGAAAAGATGGATGGTCACACACATTTTTACATCCAGCCCTTCCTGTCAGATCAAATGCAGTAAACCAACAGAATATTTCCCTGTGAGATGTAAAATAAAAGTGAAATAAAGCTAGTAAAAATCAAAGTACAAGCACACAAAAATTTATTACCTTGTAGTCGACGGCTGTAGATCTCAACAATCCTGAGGAGGAGAGGGAAAGCATTAACACAGCCTCAGGGGAAATATGAGAGCAGTGAGTTTTAGCAGCAAAGATTAAAACGGTAAAAATAAACAAACATTTAGGGCTGACTCATGAATATAGGAAGGAAGACACAAAAAATTTGTTTTTTATGAAAATCTAAGTGAAAGAAGGACTCTGTCAACCGATTTTGGTTACTTTTCACTCAGAATAACTTCACTAAATAGACAAGCTAGAAAGGAATCGCCACATCCTGGCAACCGAGCATTTTTTCAACTAATGTGTTGTCTACAGTATTAAAAAATCCTCGATAATACTATTATTTAAAGCATGTAATCCTTGGTCCTTTTAATAAACTAGTGCCAACTACTATCTACAATGAGCGTATAATAATATACATTTGTATTTTTTTAAACCTGAACTGACTGGGGCTAGAAAAATGATCAGTTATCAAGACTTTTTAATCTTAGCATACGCCCCCTCCTGTCATTTGAATGGACATACACAATAAACCAGCTCCATTCAGTAATTTTAGAAGCAGACGCAGCTCTTGTAGATGTGCAGAATCCACCCGGTCTTCCCCTTAACCTGTTGCTCTTCTCGGTGAGCAAAACCACTTTGGACAAACTCGACCCAAATCACCTTCAGGGAAATGTCACAAGAACAAACAGGCAGGCAGCATGCAGGAGATAACCCACTTTTTTTTTCAAGGGAGATGATGGTGTAGCTAAAATCTTATTGGAGGCTTCAATGCAACTGGAAATTTTAAGCAAACAGCCTGCTTACATTCAGTGATGCAGATAAGACTTTGATGGTTGACAGCACCAAGAGATCATTATTTTATTCCTTAAATGATGTGAACATTTTTGGTGGTTGTTGTAGGTCCAGGAGTCATTTAGAAAGTGCAAGCGTCATGGCTTTCTTATCCTGACATCAAATGTGATGCGAACAAGTCTTCCCGAGTGTTCTCGAGGCTTTAGCTGGTTTGGGCTCACTATCCACTGAGAGAACGATTGCCTGGCTGTTTTTCTTTTCCCCTAAAGATAATGTGATAATGGACACAATGTGCTTTGTTTTAAAGGTGCAAAAGGGTCTGTATCTGTATAAATACACTTTATAATCATTTTTAATCATTTGATCATGACTGTGAAGCAAATTTGATGACTCTCTGACATGTGTAATAAAGCAGCGGTCCCCAACCTTTTTTGCGCCACGGACCGGTTTATGCCCGACAATATTTTCACGGACCGGCCTTTAAGGTGTCGTGGATAAATACAACAAAATAAAACTAGTACCGGTACCGAAAAAAAGAAGATTTATTCATAACACACGTGAAAAGACCCAGGAAAACCGAGTAAACGATAAAAACGATAACAAAATAACGCTGAAAACCGATAAAAACCCTGAAAACTATACATTTCACACCTGAGCCTCAACTCTCGCGGCCCGGTACCAAACGACTCACGGACCGGTACCGGTCCGAGGCCCGGGGGTTGGGGACCGCTGTAATAAAGGAATAACAAAATTATAATAAAATAACATTGGATGGAACAAAGCGCAAGTCATAATTACTAAATATCGGTACTGGCATCTGTCTTAAAAACTCGTGTATAATGATGTGAAGCTTCACTGGCGATCTGCCTGAAAACAAAGCCAAACTTTATAAAGAAACCTTATGACCGCAATCATGAATATCAAGAGCTGTCACTTTTATGTCAGTATATTTTTTATTATTTTAATTATTTTGTTAGGGAAAAAAACAACATTGTGATGTTCTCCATAACAGAAAAATAACTATATTCTCTTGAGATAATCTTAAAACTTAATCTGAAAGTGTAGTTTACTGATTCCACTTGTAGGGATTTCACTTAGAGATGCTCTAAGTGAACGGTGTAGCTGCTGCCGTCGCAGTGACTCTCCAGTACTGCGTTAGTAAGGGGTGTTAGCCTGTAAGCCTGAGGGTATTGGGGTCAGTGGGTAGTACACACACAAGTTTTAATAATCAGCTTAAACACACACACACACGCACAGATAATGTGACAGTTATGACAATAGAGTAAATGTACTTACCTGGCTAGCTTGCTGAGGCCCAGAACTCTCTTGTTTGGGAGGTATCCAATGTGAACCTGCAGAAAGTGACAAGCTCAAGGTTAACCCTGCTCTCATTCTGGCTTATGATACAACTCACTAATGGTATAATTATGAACTGAGGTGTTACTGATCCCAGCTCAGCTCAACGCTGCACGGCGGGACAGCTGTTGCTGAACATGTCAGCCAGTATAGCTAAAGCTCTCGACCTCATTAGCCTCAGTTCTGATCGTTTCACATACTAATTTGACTACGTTCAAATCTAATCCTCAGCTTCTCGTAACATAATCAGAGTTTCTCGAAACTCATCACCAAGTAGCTGCTGGGCTCACAGCAGATGTCTGCCCCTCCCTGGTTTCTTCCTGTTAAAAGGGAGTTTTTCCTCCCCGCTGTTGCCAAATGCTTGCTCATACAAAGTTGTGTGCTTGTTGGAGTTTTTTCTGTATAACTGTAGTGACCTTACAATATAAAACATCTTGAGGTGACTATTGTTGTGATTTGATGTTGAATAAGTAAAATTTAACTGACTGTACAGGATACTGACCCTCCCCGTTTTCTTATTAGCCGTGCTTTCATGACACAATTCTTTCTGATACTCCAATAAATAAAGATTCAGTTGCACAACTAAAACAAGTGTGGCCACGTTATTCTTAGCAGAAACCTTTATCTTGACCCGGATGGGCCTCACAGGCCGCTGGTTGCCCCGATCATGTAATAAAGCTGTTCTTTTTGCTACAAGTGTTCCTGAAGCGTCAACCTTTCTCAGATTCATCTTCGTCTCCATGCAACTTGGAAGTAGGTGAAGTTGTATTTTAATTTGTTCTTAGCCTCAACCTCAACACGGGCTTCTCTTTTTCATCTTTCTTTGTTTTCTCATCACACTGGTGTTTGAAGCTCCAACTCTGATCGATGGATAAGCACATCTTTGGCAGAAACCAGTGTTTTAATCCAAGGACATGGCCCTGCTGTACACACTCCTTCCAACCCTACTGGATCTCTGGTCAGACATATTACATCTTTCTTCACTGACAGCTCAAGAAATGCATCCACCCCGCCCAGCAAACTGGAGTTAGTTAAAAGCTTTGCCATCAGGAGTAACAGTTTAAAGAGAAAACAGAATAAAGCCACAGGTGTACACTAATTGCCAAGTTTCGCACATTAGGTACAAAGTGAACGTCAGGTTGATACGAACAACAGGAAGGATAAGGAAGGCAACGAAAACTGAAGAGGCAGGCGGACAAAACAAGAGAAGCGAGAGACAGAGTCATCAGCTGGAAAATCTCTGCTCGATGGCTGCAGGCTCCAATTCTCATACACACACATATACACACCAACACACACACTGGTACGCTCCACTCAAATGTCAGACGCAATTTTTTGACAAGACGAGAGAAAGGGCAGTGGCAACATGCGTGTGGAGATCTCTTTTCCCTTCAGATGTTACTTTTTTTAGTTCTCTGCTGCAGCGGCCTGATAGACCGACATCAAACGGGCCGAGCATGGCGGCTGCTTTTTTCACTTATCTGTCCCCGTTAGTCAGATTTACTGCCTCACGCTGTGAGTGAGGAGGGGGCAAGGCAAACAAAAAAAACCTCCTGAGGTTTACAACAGCTTAAGTGTAACACAATAACACTCCAACTCTTTTTCTTTTAATAGCCATATTTTGTTCATAGTTCTAAATATTTTGGCATATTTACTATTTGGAGGTTTCTCACTTAACCTGCTGGCAGCTGTTCTCAGCATCAGGCTCCGATTAAATCATTTTATGATACGAGGAAAATTTAGCGGGTAGGTGTTGAAGTGATTTCTTATTTTATCCATCTTATTTATAGCACTGAGGTAATGCTAGATCACCTGAATGCACAGGAGTAAAACAAAAAGAAAGTGGTAAACTGGGCGCGTGCGTCTGTCTGTGTACAATTTCATTCACTCTCACGATGAATGATTTTTCTCTAAAGATACGTGAATTTAAATGTTGGTGACATTTTGCTCTGTTCCCAGTCAGGATGATCCCACACTGGTTAAATAATGTTGAGGTCCAAACTCTGCAGAGCCAGATATTGTCCCATTGTGTATTTTTCCATCCAGGTGTGCTTTTACTGCATCGGCAGTGTGTTTAGGATTATTGACGATGATAAGCTGTTGCTTAAAAATGAAACTGTTGCAATAAGATCCTTTCGAGTACTGAAAAGATGGCTGTAGATGCAGGTTGTGCTGCTGCACAACCTGCAATGATTTGAAATTCAATTTTCAAATGTGGATTCATCACATTATCGGCCCACTAACTGTATGATATGGAATACATCAGCCTTTTCTCCCTCTTTCCCTCCCTCGAGAGTGGCTACTTGACACATGCCCTTTTAATAAGACCTTTTTTGATAAGGCTTAAGTAAACAATAGATGGATGAACTGAAGGGTCAGGTCACTGCAGGGTTTGTTCCTGTTTCTTAAGGCATGACTTTTAAATACTGTTCACCTGCTGCAGCTAGACTAGCAGCACTTTGAGAATCCCTTTGTTAGTGCAAAAACAGGCTTGTTATTTTTGGCATTTTTTTTTTTAGATTTAAACAAAAAAATCAAAGAAATTCTGGGTGGCTCAAGCGTTTTGCACAGTACACAGTATGCTGATGGCATTTTAATATAGAAGTATCAAAATAAAATCAGGTATTTAGTCCTTGAATTGACTGATAAAAGTAATTTTTGTAATCATTCATATTTTTAGGACACTACTGAATACGTTACCTTTGTAAAAGAAGGCTGCAGATCATAACGCAAGTTATTAAATACAATATTTGGAGTGCCAAATGTCCTGATCAAACCAAACTGCTTTGTTTGTCCACAATTCATAGTTCTTTGGTTTTCCCAAAACTCAGTACCCGATTGCTTGTTTTCCACAGGAAACACATCGCAGGGAAGAAGCAATTATGCCTGAATATAAGAACAAAGGACACATGTTTGTTCCAGTGTGTTTTCTCTTCAAACGTTTTCTGAAGAGTTGACATGATAGCATCTCTGCTGACTGCAAATCAGTCAAATGTTTTTAAACAGCTTATTCACTGAACAGCTGGCGACTACCTGCCCAGCAGAAGAGGAGGACCGAGACACCGCAAACAGACAGCCGGAGAGAGGGGCTGGATAAGAGGAAGTGCTGCTGATGATGACAAGAGGGGTGGGGGGGATTGATGCACATGAGTGGACACACTGCGAGAGGAGGCGTTTGTGTGATTCACTGCTGTCATCAGAACCCATTTACACCCGGTGGAAAAAGATCAGCTGCCAGCCTCCATTGTTTTAAATGACATGCACCTGCAGGTGAAGACGGAGGGAGAAGGGAAGCAGAGGAAGAAAAGCAGAAAGAGGGACGAGGCCAGTCTGCCGGTTGGTGGAGAGTAATGATATCAAAGGGGCAGAGAGGAGGCTGAAAACAGATCTCAGCTAATCTGATTGCTTCTAGTGTTCTCTGATGTCCAGACAAACGTCAGAGAGAAATGGTTTTTGAAGATACACATCTGGTTGCACGGCTTGATGTTTGTGGCAATTTTTTGTGCACTAAATTATGGGAAAATATATATATAGCGAAGTGCCTTGTGAGTAAAGCAGAGTGTTTGTTTATGTGTCTCTTTTTGCAGTCCAAAGATGCAATGAGATGTCAGCCACATCACATGGACTGCAGCTCCCTTTCTGCCCCAGCGGTCACCTGCATCTTTAGTCATTGTCCTGTTCCCATGGATGTAATTACATTTGTATCTAGTTGGAGGAGCGTGTCATTCTGTTTAGAGAAAATAAGTATTTAGTTGAATTTCATAATTTAAAATCAGGTCATTAAACAATTTAATGATGTCATTTTTAAAGAAAAGGTGCTAATGCTAATGCTAATTCCTCCCGCCCTTAGAAAATGAAGAGGTCACTGAACCGTTTGAGGGGTATAAAAATGATGATTCCAGTAATGAAGCTTATAATGAACAGCAGCGATAAACAGAAATGTAGCATATTCTGCTATAGGAAAGTTATCAGGTTAAGCATTCAGCTAAGGAGGCCCACAGCAACCCTGCCGTGTCTCGTGGCCTGTTTATGTAATCATTCACTCAGGGAGCATGAAGTCACGTGCTTTACTAATACGAGATGGTGCGCACTGGTAACAGGTTCATTAGAAGGACTACTGAGCTTGTTCTGCGGGCCCCAAATTCCTGAAATGCATGGAATATCCTCATACACCATCAAGTTTGTGCTTTCAGAATCGCTCTGTGTGTGTGTGGTTTCTTTTACCCTGCCAAAGATGGGCACCAGGTGATGTTCACACATGGAGAACATGTCGATGTCTTTCACTATCACCATCTCATCGTGGTCTTCATCGAAGATGGCGTCATTCAGTACGTCTGAGGAAAAAAATGGGAGAGATTAAACATAAAGGAAAAGTCTAAATAAGGAACTGCAGAATAGATCAGCATGATCGCAAAAAGTAAATAATCAATCAACCAAACAAGAAATGCTGCAAAAAATTCAGGTAACAGTCAAATTCAGGCAAAAAGAGGTTTTTTGTTGTTGTTTGGCTTAAATTTTAAAAAACTAAAATAAAAAAAACAAAAACAATGCAGGATTTTTTCTTCTTGAGGGCAGACAGACTGAAGTGAACCAGCCATGCTGGAGGATGCCGGGTTCGCCTTGACCATTCAGCTGCCACGCCCTTTACGATGGACTTCAGTGTTTCTCTCTGGCAAACACCACTGTCTAATTATAGCTCTGCATCCTCCTTCGTGTGGTTGCCTTATTGCATTTTTTGGTTGCCGGGGTTCAATAAACTGTTTTATCTTTTGAACGTGACGGCGCAGACGCTTCTCGCTCTCATCGCAGCAGTTTTTAATTTCCTGACTTGCTATCTGCAAGAGGGAGAGGACGGAACACGGAGGGGTGAGGTCACCAAAACAACAGAACACACTGACTTGTTGCTTCGGCTTCTGCTGCTTATTTTATCACTGTGCACATAAAGGGAGAGGCCTGTGGGGTTGACAAGACCGATACATATTTTTCCTGTCATTACCTTTTTTTGTATTTTAGCAAGCTAACAACAAATTAGAGCAAACCAGTGTTCAAATGTTGACCTGATCACCAACATTATTATAGCTCACACTTTAATGTCTGAACCATTCATTCTTGTAATCCTTTTTCCAATAGACTAGAGTTGCAATGGTTAGTTCAATAACTGCCAGTATTTTTGTTGTTATTTTTCCAGTTCAGGGTTGAAGGGCCTTTCTCAACTGCCAATGAGCGAATGGCAGGATACGGCCTGTACAGGCTGCTGTTCCATGAAACTGCCAATATTTAAAAAAAATCACTGAAATCCTTCTTCAAGTAAAAATAAAAACAGACATTTTTAGCCTCTTATATACGAAGAGTCTCTGTATTGCTCTGTTTTATTTATTTTATTCTGTTTTATAACACAAAACTCAGGAGTGGAGCTTTGGACTGTTGCTCATACAAAACAAGACTTTTAGAAACATCATCTGGGGGGATAGGAAACCTAAGAAGTTGTTAGAAGAATTTAAGTTGTACTATGATTTATTCACTTATGCATTAAGGTCTTATTACTTAGCATGCTTCAGAATGTTCATATATTTCACAGGGACATTAGAAGTAACTCTTAAAGTTTAAACTGCAGATGTCTATTATTAAAAGATACCTCCGTTATGAAGCTTTCGAATGTATTACAATGCTCATATATTTGAAGAGACATTCCCTCCTGTTGTTCAAATATTTCATCTGTAACTTTATTGAGTTCAGTAGACAATCACTTGTGAAACATTTTCAATTGCCACGTCATTGACTAAGTACAGACGGAAACTACACATAGTCGTCATCTTCTTCACTGTCCGGGTTCTGATCGCTGTCATAGGCTGCGGGATTATGCACTGCTACATAAGCATTAACGGAATGAGCTATCATATTTGACACCATTTTCTTAAAGCAGGGTATTACACAGGTTGTGAAAACACACATTAATAAGAGTAAGGAGGCAATTCCAACAAGTCCTTTAATCAACAGGGACCTCCACGATCCGTTCAATAACCATGTTAACCAATCTTCAGGATCTAATATTTTGTCTTTTTGTTCTGCATTTCTAATTTGTTTTAGCATGTTTAGAGCGTCGGTCATGTTAGGTGAGTGTATGTTGTCTGGAATGTATGTGTTCTATCGTACACATAGCGGTACCAAGCGTTGTTCATCCAGGGGTGTTCATGGTCCTGTGTCAGGTCACATAGGTGTGAATCGTCGTGTGTCCATCTTTTACTGTGGGTAATCACTTGGTCTTGTTTCCATAGGTCGCAGGGGTTGGTGCCATTGGGGTCAACACCATATCCTCTTGGACAGTAGGGATTGCAGGGGTTGTCCCTGCAGGCTATGTCCATGCAGATGGCGGCGAGTGCTGTAAACACTGAGATGATGAATAGAAAACACAGGGTTATGCATATGGTCAAGTAGCAGTTTTCAGACCAGTTCTGGGGGTTTAAGCGATCTCTCCATTGTGGGCTTCTGGGGGCTTCTTCTTCTGGGCTGCTCGTCTGCTCCTCCTCCAGCTCCTCTAATTCCTCCATCTCCATCTCCATGTCAGGCATCACGATTGGTCCCCACACCGGGCAGGTAGGCTAGGTTTGAGTCAAGGGAGCGATCTTCCCGACTGCAGCCTCTTTAGGCCTCCCGTGTGGCGACCCCTGGCCAGAGGAGCGAAATCACCTGTGTTGCCACCTGTGACCCTACTCCCCACCAGGCGGTACACAAAGAGGTTTGGAGAGAGCTGGAGTCTATGTGTTGGGCTCAACCTTCTTAGTGTGACTCTGGTGTATCCACGACGGCCTTTCAGCTATTTTGCAGGCTGTAGGGGTCGTCAGAAGAACCTGATAGGGGCCTTCCCACCTTGGTGTGCTCCAGCTTTTCCGCTGGAGGACCTTGATCAGGATCCAATCACCTGGCTTCAATCTGGAAGAGACTGGAGAAGAATCACTCGGCAGTTGATTGTTCAGTATTATTTCTTTATTCTCTAACAGCTTTGTCATCCACTCTGCTAATGTTGTTTCTCTTATAGATTTTGTCTATTGGTTCACTAGTAATAGGAAGGGGAAAGGGTTGCCCATGCACTATTTCAAAGGGTGTTAGTTTGTTTGAGTCCTGTATTAGTCTCATCCACATTTTAACCAACCCTATGCATTCGGGCCATGGGCGGCCGGTTTCCTCCATACATTTTCTCAATCTTTGTTTTATAGTGCCATTTGTCCTTTCCACCAATCCTGCGCTCTGTGGGTGGTAGGAACAGTGGTGTTTTATGTTGAAACCTAACGCTTCAGATACCTTTGATATGACTTCATTCACAAAGTGTGTGCCATTATCAGATCTTATTAGACTTGGTATTCCGTATGGTGGAGTGGGGAAATGACCTCTTTTGGGCCTTAGATTCCCTTGGGCATTGTGTTTTTGACATATCATACATGTTCTAACATACTCTTTTGCTGAAGTTTCAAAATTTTGAGTATAGAAGTGTTTGGGGAGGATACTCATCATTCCACCCCTTGACAAATGCTTTAAGCTATTTGTCACTAATGCTGCTGTCTTGTGTAGCAATTTTGTAGCCGTGCTCCACACTTTAACCATTTCTTTTGCTCCGCTATAGGAGCGGCTTCCTATTCATTTTGAAGCACATCAAGTGGTATTAGCTGTAAAGTTTCAGACATTAAAGTTCATATTGGTTGCTGTGCGGCCTTCTCTGTGGCTTGGCCTGCGAAGTTATTGCTTTCAGTAATTTCTGAATTATCTTTTTTGGTGTGCAACGCATATTGACTGTCAGTGTGAATATATATATATATATTGACCTTTGCGCAGCTTGCACGTATGATAGCCGCTAGTTCTGCACTCTGTACTGAAAAAGAGGAAGCTAAAGGTTTCGCTTCTAAAACAGTAGGCTGCAGTGTACTAAAAATGTCTGGTCGGGGTTTCTTTTTTTTTTTTTTTCAGTTAGCTTCAGCATACAGCTGTGTTCGGCACCATCTACTTCCGCAGGAAGGAGAGTGCTTGTCACAGTCAGGCAAAGCTAAAACTGTGCTTGTTTGCAGGGCAAGTTTTAAGTCAATAAATGCTTTGTCTGCCTCTGGTGTCCATTCTATTTCATCAGGTATCCAACATCTGCAAAAGTTGCAAAGACCTAAATAACTCATCATTTGTTGTTTGGCGACAGGCTTAGAAGCGTATTGTACAGCTACTTTTTTTTTGCTGTCTAATAGCTGTCTGCCTTGTCTGCTCTGTGGCCAAGGACATTTTAATGTCAAAGGTTTATTTAAATTAAACAAGACATTCTACAGGTTGAATAAAGACACTCAGACTGTTGTTCAAGGTTCAACAATGAAGACGTGCACGGGTGGAAGCTCGAAGGAGATCCACACCCGAGGCCTTGCAGTCAGATTTATTTATACAAAGGGACAGTTGCATTTCCTGTTTTTCAAGCATATTTATCAGCATGTGTGTGTGTTCTGTGTGTGTGTGTGTGTGTACGTGACAGGATGTAATGGCATGTGATACA